ACTATTATTAGTAATATCACGCCCGACTTTCCTTAAAATAAAAATAAAAGTACTTGATCGATCCGTTACTAACTGTTACTATGGGAGCTTTAGCATATAGTCGTCTAATTTTTTTATAATATATGTATCATACTTTTGTAGATTTTTGGTGAAAACCCTAGGTGCACTTTGCAGCTTTGCATACTACTAAAGATATCATTAAAATGCAAACGGTTCACAAAACATGATGGAGATATTGTTGCATAATTATAGGCTCTGCTTATGAATTGGTGAAAGCAGAGAATTTCAATAAATAGAGAAGGCGGAAATTTTAAATCAAATATTTTTGAGTACTAATATTGTAGTTTTCAAATGAGAGAACATCGAAAAATGCAACTTCGACAAGAAAAATACACCACGCAGTGTGGGATAAACAGTGGCTAAAGCGATTATATTTCCACCTTTAAGGTGATTGAGGTCGTAAGCGTGAAGGAGCTGAGCTCATTTTCATTTTCATTTTATTAATTGAAGCCTTAGCTGTTGAGATCAGCTCCTTTAATAGCAAATTTTACATACTGAGATAATTAAAATATTTCAGGAAAATATGATCATATGTTTATTAAATGTTCCCTTCCCTACAAGAACAGTGACAGTCATCTGACCAGTAATATGACAGTCATAGTTGAAAAAATTTCGTCAGCGCGCAAAACAAAGTTTCTATCATTTTCTTAGGAGCCTTGTGCAAAAACTGATGTAAGCAAACGTATGTGTGTGAGTTGGCATCTCTCTTTTACAGATGGGTACTCGGAGTTGATTCACTATATATCTATACTGCTCACTCTCATGTCTTTTTCTAAGTCATTATTTCTTTAATAAATTCAAAACTTTTAATTAAAATTAGTTATAATAATATACATACACAAATATAAAAAAATATAATTAATTAATAAATTTTCACTTAATTCCATGCTTGCTCCTCTCAAAAGCTCTGATGTTCGTATTTCTCCAGTTTATGAATATTTATTTTATTTTTATTTAAAAATGAAAATAACTAAAAATATAATTTTATTTTAAACTTAATAATAACTTACGTATATTTTATTTGAAAACTCCTTCGTTATTTATTTATTTTTAATAAAACAAAAATTGTTATTGCACAGGAGCACACAACTCTTTCAGTTTATCGCATGAAATAACAGCTGCATATGTATTTCACAACTTCTCGAAACTTCTAGGGAAATGTATGCTGTCTCTTTTCGACGTGTACAAAATTTGCTTTTGGAAAAATCGTAAAATCGACAGTCATTTTACTGTTCATTTGACATAATAAATGTGAGTGGATTGGTGAAGCCATCAACTGTTACTTGTAGGATTATGTGTATTTACAAAAATATTACAATCATGATCCGAAACTCCTCTCTTCGCTTTTTGAAAGAGCTCAGTGACTTTTACGTGTGTTTATAATCTTTATTTAAAGAGATTTAATATAGTTTTGTTTTAAAGAAAGAGCGGGTATTTTGTCGTAGTTTATTGTTTGGGTTAGCAGTATCAATTGTCCACGTACATATATACATATTTTGGATAGAATTCCATGCATTGTTATGTAAACTTTGATTTCCGAATATATTATCAAAAGCTATTTTTTTATTGAGTGTATAAAAAGAAATAAGGTTCATGTTATTTAAAACTTGTAAGTGTTTTGAAATATTAAAATATTTTTTTAAATTGCGTTTTAAAAGTTAATTTTGAAAATACTTTGTGATTTAAATATACATATTATATTTACACCGCATATAGGATATCAATCTTGTTAAACAAATTTTTATTATGTATATTTTTCTGTTAAATGGAAACCGAAAGAAACCCAAGAAATACAATAAAAAATCTCAAAACTTATTTCTTTTCTTGGTGGCACCACTCTCAAATTTTATTAAAATGTGAACTTTGACAGCGCTCTTTCGAATCAAAGAGTTTTATATCATGTTATCCATGCAAACAATGACTTTTGTCTTCACTTTTTGAATTTTGTGAGAACAGCTAGAATGAAGCACTGTACAAGCATACAATTAACAGAAGAATGCAGAGAATTTCACTCAGCTGAGATCACCTGTTCGAAATCTGCCTTTTTTGACGAGAGATGTAAATAATAGGAATATAGTATGTAACTCTTTTGTGAAAAGAAAAGTATTGAAAAACCATTAATAAAAACTTGCAAGAATATTTTCGAAACAAAAGTTTGGCTGCGTTCGAGCTCTGTAATAATTATAATAGTACAGCAACTGGTTTGCTTATTTGATTATACTTTGCTGATGTGCAGACAAAAATTTAGTGTTGCCGACTTTTTGCATAAATTACGCGCAAAAAGTGACAGAAGAACGTGATGGTGTTGGAAGTGTTGCCAGAAATTTACGCAGAACGTGATACTTTGACAAATTTGAAACGCTGCAGTGATTGCCATCTTGAACGCACCCTTTATTGCATATTTATTGCTTTTCCGCAGCCCCTCTGAGGTTTTAATGTATTCGCGTTACCATTTTCGTAACAAATATGACTAGAAAAAATATATAGATATAAAACTGGACTGACTTTTCTCATGTATTTTTGATAAATTGGAAACATTTAATAAAATTATGTTACAATATATAATAATTTAGACAAAACTATGTAAATTTTAATAATCGAAAAATATTTGAATAGGTAATAGAAACATTCTTAAAGTTATAAATTTTATAAAATAACACGGCAACGCACTATAGCATATTTGAGGCATTTGGACGTTTTAGTAGTAGAATACTAGTAGGCAGCCCGTACCAGTATGAATTTAGAACTAAAATATTTGGGGGCAACCCGTACCAAGTGTGACATTTTTGCGTATGTATTACTGAAAAACTTAGGGCTGGTTACTTGATGATTTATACAATGGAACGAAGCAAGTTGAACGATCGTAGACAAGCAGGGGTCAAGGGGTACACTGCCACATAAATATTTCAGATATTTTTTACTAATCGAATTTATTTTATAAACATTTAAGTATGAATTTACGTAAATATTATAATATTACGAAAATAAACTCTAAGATGTCAGTATTTTTTAATACAAATTAGGCAATATAATAATATGTTATAAATCCTCCGTTGAAACGCCTCTGTTCAAGGTGGAAGTAAAGGCGAGTTCGCGGGGAGACGCTGCGGGGTAAAAAATTGAGTTCTGACAAAACGTTGAAAAAAAAGATATGAAAACTTTGCCGACAAACATACATACATACGATCTCGCATACATATTGACACCAAATTTTGAGCACCGTCCCGGAGTTGACAAAACTTGTTTGAATCCACAATTTTGCGACAATGTTTGTCCTTTTTGCAGTACTTTACTATTGAAAATTTACTTATGCTATTTTGAAATACTACGAGTACTGTTGGCTGTATTTTCATAGCGTCGTATTTAGATAAAATCGGCTAAATCAATAACTATGAAATAATGATAATAAGTAAACATATAAAAGTACTATGTGGAATGTGCTTAGAACTTATAGAAGTAGTAAAAGTTTGTATGAGTGGTAATTGTACAGAAATTGTTGTTGTTGTAACGGTTACCTAATCCCCGCTTGGGTGGTACGTTTTAATTTGGTTGTCGTCGGGGTCATCTAACGGGAGGCCGCCAGAAACGTGCTGCTTGGACGGGGTCGGACCATATTGAGTACAGAAATTGTATAAATTAATGCCATATATTGTGCAAAATATGAAATAAATTAGAACAATATTTTAAGTCGCTTATAGGCCATGTTGCCAATTCTCCGTTCTAAAGGAGAGCATCATCGTGAGGAAGCAGCTTATGGGCAACATGCAACTCCGGAGGGATGGTAGGATTTTCAGTAATGGTGGATTGTAAAATGTAAATTTTTACTAAAATCATTTTTTTCCTTTTATTCAAACTTCATTTTTGTTATGAACCAACGCACTTTGCTTTGTAGCAGACGCACGCTCCTTATGAATGAATTTTTCGTCATGTATGAAATACTTAGAAAAGTTGCGCAAACTTCTCGAATCTTACTGCTGATCATGCTGCGTCTGCGCTTTTTTTTATCGCTTGTGCGATGTGTTTGATTTTTTACAAATGGCATATTGTGTACTTGTGTACATATGTAAGTATGTACATATATACAAATGGGAATATGTGTATATGCAAATATATTTGGACATGCGCATAAAGAAAAGGCATGAATATTAATACACAAATTGGCCAATTGAAACAACTAAAAATTAATACATACAAAGCTGTTGGAGTTCACACATGAGACTATTTTACTCAGATGTGACACAATTACTAATTGCAACATCAAATATTTTGGCTAAGTTCAAATCCTTTCACAAATATTTTTTATTTTTATAAACCTTTTTTATTACATGACATTTTAATTTAATTCCTTTTTGTTATTTTAATTTTCGTTCATACGCGTGCCAAAGAACATCTGCATTTTTGAACTTGCGCTTTTTCGATATTTTCTCATAATAATTTATTAATTTCTCTATTCATTAACATTTTCTGGCCCTACTCCATTTCCGGTCAACCTGATGAATAATTACAATTTTGACAAATTGACTCCAGTTTTTGATTTTCTCCTCTGCTATATTAATGAAAATATATATACACTTTTCCGTAGTAGTTATGTTTATTTGTTTGTTTCTTTGAGTTGACAAACGTGAATGCATTATATAATATGTAATCTACTTAAATAATAGAACCTAAACTTCAAATCAATCAATTAAATGTTGACAACTCTCAACAGAATGTAGAATCTTGTATGTAGCAATTAAATATTGTATTGTTTGCTGTTTCTGTTCAGCAAGGATTCCCAAATCTTTTATAATCGCTCATTCTGTAGCTATATTGAAAGTAGGCATATATGTATCTTACAAATTTCTTAGCATGCGATGATGAATATTTTCAAAACAAATTTCAAGGTATTTAACGCAAGTAGTATACGCTTTGAAAATTGGATCTTATTGGGAGGGGGGCGGGAGGTCTCCAAAAGTCCTACTTATTACTTTAAGTATTAATAATTGTGTCGGTTACAAACTAAATTATTTTGTGGAGTACATAAAAAATTAATCAGGCAAAATGATAAAATGTGGAGCATACACATTATCCAGTCGTTCCTGCATATGTCTGTCTACCATTGTTAATTTAGGTCTTTACTCGTTCTTTTTCATTGATTTTAAAGCCCTTTCACGCAACTGTTTCTCTAAGTCTTCATTTACTCCTCCTAGAAGTAAAGACGCCGATGTAGATTTTCCGATACGTTCGCGGACTTCATCTTCCTCGCCACTGCTTGAAGAGCTATCAGCCTTTTTGTTCTTCTTCTTATGTTTCTTGTGTTTCTTACTCTTCTTGGCGTGTTTTTTATGCTTCTTATGCTTTTTCTTTTTTGACATTGCCTCAGCTTCGGAATCCGAAGAGCTATCATCGTCTGAATTACGTTTTGATGTTTTCTTTGCCTTCTTTCGTTTCTTCTTTGAAATTTGGTCATCATCTGAATCCGATGATTCGCGCTTGGATTTTTTCAAACCAGAAACAGAAGTTGCACGTTTGCGTGAAGTGATTTGTTTCGATTTCGAGCCAGCTGTTTTGCTTTCCGACTGTTCTTTTTCGGAGTCATCGCTTGAATTGGATGAATCATTATCTCTTGGAGCGTGTTTCTCGACCACTATTTTTTTATTTCCCTTCAAACTACTTTGAACCGTTACTTCTGATACATCGTTTAGGTATTTGCCTTTACCGACCTCAACTGCATTTCGCTCTTCTCGAATTTCTTCGGTGTGTGCATTCTTTTCTTTGCGCCCAGCCTTGCCACTTGCTGGTAATTCTACCACTATCTGACCTTTGCTTGATCCTTTTGAATTCAACTTTTTCATGGCTTGTTCGTCATCGCTATCATCGTCAGACTCGTCTTCACTTGTTACTGACTTTCGTCTTTTAGATTTGGTACGCAATTCAGAATTCTTCATTCTCGACACTCTTGTTTTTTCAACTATATTACGCTCCTCCTCATCTTCACTGTCATCACTATCGCCGGAACTTTCTGAAGACGAGGAATAACTTTCTTTACGGCTCTTTTGTGGCTTTTTCTCTTGCGATTTCTTTAGCGCATTTTTCTGAAGTTTTTCACGTTCGTGAGGCTTCAAAAATGGTGACGGTGTGCGAGACAAACTTGAACTGTATCGATCACGTAATTTCTCGTTGCGTAAAGTTGGACCAGTAGTAGCGGTAGTGGCTACAACCAGCGGAGCTTGCTTCTTTACTTGGTGAGATTCAGTTTGAATTGCTTCCATCTTTGCTTTACGATTTTCGCCACGTTCTTCTTTGGATAAGTCAATGGTTTTGACAGAGGGACCTGCATATTCAACCGACGACCGTCGTCCTGAAATGATTATAATTTAGAAGAATATGTGAAATTCTCTTAATGGCCATAGTTACCTGAATTTGCACGAGCTTTTGACATTTTTTCCGAAGACTGGCTGGAATCCCGACCGCTTCTATCGCGGGACCGTATGAGACTTCTTGAACGGTCTCCGTTGTTTTTAATTGGACTAGTTTGTTTTGTTGTACTGGGCTGACGGTTCGCTGCTTGTTTAGTAGGTTCATCGTCTAACTCCCAATTCGAACTTTCTGACGAGGCTCTAGCTTTTGGTTTTTGAACATTGCGGTTATTTTGATCCCACCGACTGAAATTATTTCCTCCGCCTCGATCACGAGAATTGTCACGCATTGGAGAGGATGGTCGGCGATCACGTGGACCTGGACTAAATCTTCGTTCTCTTGACCTTCTTTGGTACTGCATATTTTGGGGTGGAGAGAATCGCCGTTGCGGAGAAAATTTGCGGAATTGATTTTGCATCGGCGACATACGGCGATCACGATCTCGTTCGCGCGAATATCTGCGCTGAGGTGAGAAACGACGATCAAAGCGTCCGCCAGGACCACCTACACCTCCTCCTCCTCCACCACCGCGACCTCTACTGGGACTACGGCGCCAGAAGTTCATACGACCACGATTATTTCCTCCACCTCGACCTCGAAAGTGCATCATTGGAGATCGACGTCGATTAAAACTGTAATATTAAACAATTTAAATTAGCAAATATATTTTATTGAAAATATATATATATATATATATATACAACAAAATATATTTCTATATTCAAAATATTACTCACCGTCGGGGAGATCGCGAACGTCGCATAGGAGAACGTGATCGATTGCGTGATCTAGAACGATTACGAGATTTTGAACGGCGGCGAGATCGAGAACGTTGATTGCGTCCGCCACCACCACCATCATTTCGAGGACTTCGATTATGTGGTGAGAATCGTCGGCCAGGCATGTCTCCTCGTCTGCCTCTATTGTCCGCCATCATCCTTCGCCCACCATCCCGCTCGTGTTCTCTATCCATGGAGCTCGCTGAAGAATCGCGATTATGCCGATAATGCCGCTTCTTTTGAACGCTGTTCTTGTTACGTCGTATTTCGAAGTCCTCTTTATGCTCAGGCGATGGCGAAAGACTGGTGTTTCGTGAACTAGATCGACGTACGCCTTTTTTATTTAAACGCTCAGAAGCTCTTGACGAAGGGGATGAAGATCTTGAACGTGAACGTGATGACACAGCACCTCTTACTGATCTTTTACTAGCGGATCTATTAAATTATATGTTAAATTTAATGAACTTGAATCCATTTTATGATATAAATGAAAGTCGGAATTTATATTAATATACATATGTAAATTTAAAACGTTACCCTTAAAAGTTAATTTTTAAATCACTGCCACATAATATACTTACGTTTTTATATTACTTTATGAATTGTTATATGTTTCAAAATTGATTTCAATTATTATTGGAAATAAAAGAACAATTTATGTATATCTAAAAGCTTCAAATGACCAGGTGTATCCCAAAAATTTTGGTCGTCAAAACGTACTATATACACATGTAGTTCACGATATACCAGATTATTTTCTTTTATTTTATATTATTTTAAAATAAATACGTGTAATTACATGTATAACACAGATTTTGTATATATTACCTTGAACGAGAACGGCCTTTAGATGATTTGCGTGCAGTGGCCCTTTTGTCAACACCTGATACACGAGAGCTTTCACTATGATTCGGGGAGGGAGTACGCTTTCTTGCGTCGCGCTTTTTAGCGGCTCCGCCGTCTTCATGCCCGTTGACTGGTGTGTGTGGGTTAGAGTGTCGAGAGCTTGAACGCTTCCGATAGGGAGATGAAATTGTGTTTTTGGAATTTCTTACTGCCGCTGGGGATGGCTTTCGTTTCACGGGTGATTTTGAACGTGATCTTGATCTAGATCGTCTATCTTTGGAACGACGACTTTTTGATTTCGGACTTTGACGTTTTTGCGGAGAATTAGAGCGTGATAGCTGACGCTTCTTGCTTGGTGGTCGTCTAACACTACGATCCCTGGAACGACTACAAGTGCTACGACGACGACGACGATCTCCGCCAGATGATCTTCGCCTCGGTGAACGCGATGGTCGCCTTCTATCTCTGGGAGAATTGCGTCGTCTCTGCGGTGACGAATTGCGTTCACGAGATGATTTTCGCATCACTGATCTATCCCTGGAGCGTTTTCTTGGTGATCGATTACGTATTTTTGATGCGGCCGCTTCTGCTGCTGCAGATCTTGCACTAGCATTGGGTGACCTGGAACGGTCGCGCAGTAAAGCTGCAGCTGCTGCTGCTGCCGCAGCATTCACACCGGCTGAATTGCCCCCCTCAAATTGCTTGCTTTGGGAAACATTACCTAAATTAGTTTCTTCAGCCGAATTCGATCTAGATTTAGCTGATAATTGTGACCTAACCTGCTCGATCGCGCTCAATGTACTTGGTGGTAACTGCTGCTCACGTTGACTCATTTCATCACGTTGTCCATCATTGGAGCGATCTCTACCGGATCGTCTGTCACGGTCACGATCCCGATCGCGTTCATTATCCCTATCACGATCCCTGTCTCTATCCCTATCGCGTGAACGCGAACGATCATTTTGTCGTTGTTGCTCTTCCCTCTTAAGTATCTCATCTTTCTTTTGCTGAATAAACTCGGCAGGGATTCCACTTTCGCTCTCTTGTGCAGATAGTAACAAAGACCATAATTCACCCATAAACTGTCGTGCATTTTTTCCATTTAAAAATCCTGTCATATTTATTTGCATTTTCTTTGGGCACGGAAATTTTTCTTCCTCCAACTGATTGTAAACAAATTCAACGACGACATCGTCTTCGATGTGTAAAATATCCGTGATTTTTTTGCTGATCCAGGGGCGCAACACATCTAGTTTCACCTTTGACATATCCACACGTTTATTTAAGCAATCTCCAAATTTCATTTGCTTCATTAATTTCTTCTCCTTGTCGCTGAAACGAGTGTCCTGCTGTTGGGTGGTGCCCTGGAAATATTTATTGTTACCGAATAAGTTAATTTTTACAAAAGAGAACATATCTTATGTGAAAATTAAAAAAAAATTTTAATATATTTCAACGTCAGGTCCCTTTACTTAATGAAAATTTTTTTTTTTTTACTTTTATTACAAAAATATTCTTTTCAAATTAAAACTAGAAACATTATTGCACGCTTCGCATTGACTTTAAAGAAATCTAACGTTTCTAAATACATTTTTAAATATTACTCCATCAAGAGCATGAACGAGTTTTTTCGCCTAACTTAACGTTGCTTTGGTTATTTATTAGGAAGCAATATATCTTAAGTAATTAAAATTGTCTCATGAAATATTAAATTATACAAAAATCATTTTTTAACAAATATCAACTAAATTATAGTGATAACTGTTTAATAATTTGACTTCGCATCAAAAATGTCTAAACATGCATTTAAATACATAACCTAATTCTTTCACTTTATTTGTTTATAGTTCAACATACATAGCAATAGGCGGGTAATCAACCTCTGAGATACCTTGTTCGCAGAAATATATTTAATATGTTTATGCAAAACATTTTTTTATAAAATCAGCAAAAGGTGTGAAAAACGCTTTCCTCCTGTTAACATAAGTTCGTTCATATCTTCAATATATTTCGATTTTTTTTTATGTGAAACATATGAAAAATTGAGATGAAAATAATCACTTTTAAATAATGTATATATTTAAATATTTAAATAAAGGAAGTGATGTAACATTAATTTCCATCCCATTATCTATTTAAAAGTAATCACTACTTACCGTGAACATCATTTTCAAGCAGTTTTTTTCAACAGTTGCGAGTGTCTTACAATTTTTTTTAGATATCCACAAATGAGCACCTTCACGACATGACAGTGTTTCAATATCTTCCTTTAATGGATTTGGTTCAGGTATAGTAGTTATATACCTTGTTTTTAATTACTCTCAATTAGTTGTTTCTGCCACACGGAAATAGTTGCGCCCGGCAACTGGGGCTTCAGATACGCACACGGCGGCAAGCGTAAAATTCAGCGTTTTGAACAGAAAAAATAGGAGGCGGGGGTAAGTAACCACATTCGTTATTTTAGCACACAAACTAACCTCAAACGTTATAAACTCAGTATAATAAACTTATTTAATATATTTCCACAGCGTTTATTCTAAAACTCCACATACTTTTACTTTATTATATCAGTAATAAACTTTTTTCGCACAATAAAAATTTTTCAATGCGGCCTGCTGCACTGCAAAATGGAGACGACGCAACGAAAAATTCAACGAAATTAGAGCTGCCATATGCATGAAGGAAAATTAACACAAAAGTAATTACAAAAATTCACAATAGCTGCTGGCTAAAAATAACTGAAGTTTTTTTAAATCCAAATAATACTATCGAATTTTAATAAAATGCTATATATTTGGTAATATTTTAAATATTATATGCACGGAGTTTAAAAGCAAAGGAAATTAATGAACAATTGATGTGGAATGGAGCGTTCTAAGCAGAATAAAACCGATGTTTTGCACCGTTATGACATCAGTTTTTTTGAATGCAAAAGGAATTTTGTAAATTGATTATCTGCAGAAAGGTAAAACAATCAACTCAAAATATTATTGCAGCCTTTTGAATAAGCTGGGTGAAAAAATTCGTGATAAAAGACCTGGTTTGCAGCATAAAAAAGTCATTTCTCATCAAGACAATGCACCGCTCACAAAAGTGTTTTAACAATGACAAAATTCAACGAATTAAAGTACGAATTGCTTGAGAATCCACCGTATTCATCAGATTTGGCTCCCAGCGACTACCAGCTCTTCACATACCTGAAACAATTCCTTCGTGAAAGCCGTAGACGAGTATTTTGCAGAGCTTCCGGAAAGTCATTATAGGGATGGCATAAAATTATTGGAAGATCATTGGAATAAGTGTATTGAGGTTAAGGGAGATTATATTGAATAAAAAACTATATTTCGTACCAAAAACAGTATTTTTTTTATTTCGAGCGCAGAAACTTTTCAACCACCCTGTATACTATAGAGAAGGCAAAGACTTAAAAAAAACTTCATTCACATTCTTTGATTTCCCCAAAAATTTTATAAGCGGATTTCATCAGAGTTTGACCCCTGCGGACTCGAAAATAACAGAATTGAGCATATTGAGTGTTATATTTGCATATAATTTAAAGATATTCTGCATATATTTGGTATCAATGCATAAAGGTATATATATATGTGCAAATGTATATATTTCATAATGAATTTTATAAAATCTCTTGAAATATATAAAGAATTGAGATTTGTATTATTACAATATATATAAACAATATATTTACCATATATTTATTTGTTTTGGTAATTAAAAGTTTTGATAACATCTGAAAAGACCAAGCAGTCGTATCAGAGAACGTATATTATAATAAAATTATAATATAATATAATATAATTATAATATAAAATACGTTCTCTGCTCGTACGAACATAGTTTACGTTTTCTGTTTTCAGCGGAAGTTAAAGAGGAACGTCAAACGAATACGTCAAAATCTACAGGAACAGGAAGTTTTAGCAGAGGATGTAAATTAATGTTCTTTTAAGTTCTCTGATTGGAAGGCCTTATCAAATTGAGATTAAATAATAACGCTTCAGCAGTAAACTAATGTTTGTTGAAATTATGGTTTATTAAAATAATTTATTGTTACAGATGTTCAGATACATACATACATACGTAAATGCAAAATTCCGCTTTCTTCCTTAATTCTTATACTACATACATTCATAGTTTTTATTTTATTTGCAAAAAACAAATACGTACTTGCGAGTACGCCTAGTACGAGTGTACATACAAGAATATTAACACTAGCTTAATATATAACATATTATTTTCATTTATGGTATAGACTTGTATTTATTTGTATACATTTGTAAATATGTCTTTAGCATAAAACTTATTAAAAATAATTAAATAGAGAAAACTTTGAAGTAATCAATAAATAGGCAATCTTAAACCTAAGCTTTTGTTCGTATATTTAATTATTTCTGATATACTGTTACGGAGAGACGTACATACGCTTAACTTATAATGAAACCCATAATAACAAACCTATGCGAATAAAATATCGTATTTATTTTAGCTCGTATGTTATTTTTTTAGTATAAAGAAAAGTAAATTATTTGAAAATACCTTTACAAACAAACATATGTCTATATGAAAATACGACATTTTAAATATATAAGTCATATTTTTAAAAGAAAATCTTGTATATCAAAAAATAATGGTATTGCTTTCGTTATTAACATGGCGACACACACATATTTTATCTCTCTTTATCTCTTACATAATTTTTAATTTTTAACGTATTAATAGATATACTAAATTTTCTCTAAAACTGTTTATATGAAGAATAATATTGCAAATATTCATTTAACTCCTTTTAACATTATTATTCAAGTAATTTGCTGTTCATTTAAATTATTTGAAATCAACATTCAACTATTCTAGAGAAATATGTATATTTATGCATATTTATCGAAATCAAAATATTTATGCTAATAAATATTTTACAACTAAATTTGTAAGTATATTAATAACTGTAAAATTCAACAGAGAAAACTTGTTGAATTCATCATATTTAGAGTAAAAATGGGCATTCGTAGCAAATATAATATAAACTCTATCGAAAGATGTTACATCTTTTATGCATACAAATGTCCATTTTAAACAGTTTAGTTTATATGTAGGTATGTAGCAGTATATCAGATATTAACAAATTAAACTTTTATTTGGTTCTGGAAATAAACTAAGGTATCATATTTGGCTCCTGCGCGGCCCCCGTAGAATATTTGGGCTTGCATACACACCCGCTCTCAACCAGTACGTAGTCCTGACCAGTCAGTGTGACTGGACCCAATGGAATTACAAGAAACAGATACGGCACATATGTCTGAGTGCATTCACCACGTACAACGTCACATTCGCCCGATCTGCGGAAAATAATACATAAATTATATAAGTTTAAAAATATGTAAACAGGAGTTATGAGGAGTTGAAAAACAAATAAGCTCTGACTAACTGGTGTTAAAATACTATACTTGTTTTTCTTTTGCTAAAATTTAAAACTCTTATGTATGTACATATATTCTGAACACAGTTTTTCTTAGCCTAAGGGCTAAAATACTTTGAAAGATACTAGAATTGTAGATCAGAAACATATCAAAGATATGTGATTTTCCTCAAATCCAGAATGGAGCAAGAGTTAGAAATCTAATTGCTTCAACTACCAAGCCTCTAATAAAATATCGTTTCTTAATGAATTTTGCTTTCTATTTTCATCCCATATCTTTCTTATTAAACCGACTTACTCGCACACTTCGAATACGACTTGTTGTAACAGATCAGGGAACTTTTGTACAATGGTAACCGGCTGTCCAGATGTCAAACTAACTCCATACATTGGCGCCGTCGTATTGTAGCGTGTTTTGCACAGACGTGATGGTGTTTCTCTGCATTGGCTAACAGGCGCATTTGCCAAAGAGCGACCTATGTGATTTATAAAGAATTAACAAAGAATTATAAAAATTGCCAGGAATCAAATAATAAAATGAAATAGCTAACCAAAACGATTGCTGGCAGGAAGATCATTATTGACTTCGTCATAGGCACGTAGTAGAGCATTCGTTGTTATCGCAGGATCTAGCGTTGAGGGGAATTTACTTTGACGTCCACGCCTAGTGTTGCCATTCCAATTCGAGAAGGTTCGTGCCACAGCCGCGCTGATGAGAAAAGAGGAATTGTTAATTACATTAACTTTCAAAGAAAAAGTTAAGAATAATGGTGAAGATTTCAATTTTATAGTTTAACTTTCGAGGAGTCCAACGGATATTTTTATTTTACCTTGGATAAGGCGAGTTGTTCGGCCCCAGACAATTGGGAGAATCAATTAGCGCATTGCCGGACAAATATTTCAAGCCCACACTGCCACTACATTTCTCAGCCTTTTCAGTATCATAATTTGACCATAGTGCCGCACTCACAACCTGCATGCTTAAAGCAATTATAGCAACTGCCAACTTCATCTGTAATAGAAAAATATATTTTAATTTTAATTATGCAGTTAAGGCAAAATACTTTGTGATAGAACAAAAGCACGCAAACTTTTTACACATTGTATAGAAATTAAAAGGATGTATGAGGAACCAAATCGAAATCTAGTTTCATTAGGCAGTTTTAGCTGCACTTTATTAGATCAATTCTAAAATAGTATCCTATATTGTGACAAAATACAAACATTTTAGCTGAGAGAGATTCAGGATTGATTACAGATATGTGCCATTAATTTCGGAAAATTTTAAAATAATTTTTAAAAATTTATTGATCATCAAAACCTTTTTATACGTATTTTAATACCCTGAGCAGAGTATATTAGGTTTTCCATGAAGTTTGTAATGCCCAGAAGTAAACGTAAGCGACCCTATAAAGTGTATATATTATATATGTAAATGATCAGCTTAACGAGCAGAGTTTTTGAGATATCGATCTGAATCTTTGCACACATTCTTTCTTCCTCAAGAAGCTGCTTATTTGTCTGAACCCTTGATATCGGGCTGCTATAGCGTATAGCTGCAATACAAACTGAACCAGCAAAATCAAGTTCTTGTATAGAAAATTTTTTTATTTCACAAGATATCTTTACAAAATTGGGCATATATTTTTATTCAAGACAACAGTAAAATCTTCGAACAAATTGTTTTGATCGGATCACTATATCATATAGCTGCCATATAAACTGACTGATCAAGATCAAGATAAAGATCTTTTTATACTCTTTTATGATATAAAAATGCACCTGTGAAGAGTATTATTGCTTCGCTTGTTGGTTCTTGTTTTATTTCCTTCAATAAATAACTTTTCTCTCTACCTGATACAACCTGAATAAAGTTATTACTTCGCTTGTCAGTCAGAATTGCAAAAATCATAAATTCAATTAAAGCTAAAAAATTTCTTACTAAATATTAAACCGAAATCCAAGCATATACATAAAGGGTTCAATTGTATTTGTAAACAGTACTTAATACCATTTAAATTATTACAAATTGTTATGAGTTTTTTGACTTCGGTAACTCTTAAGTGTCATAAAACTAGACTTCGAGTCATGAATTCACTTTCGTTTGCTTACGCCGCTTTGTTCTGGTATAGATATTGGTATCACTTTGCTATACAGCAGTATGCATATGTACAATATATTAAGCGTAAATATCTACATATATAAATTTATTTGTTGTAGCTCGTTTTATTAACATTCAATTTAGTTTTATTTTTCGTTAGTGATTTCATTGTCTAAGAAATAGTTGGTGTGAAAGTTAAAACGCGAATTTTTTTTCATACATACAAACACACTACATAAGCATTCGTACATAAGTAGATACATATAAATGAAGAGAGTGGACTTGTTTTGCGATTTTTTGATTATATATATGGCGATCAATTTGAGACTTATTTAAACTTTATAGGTCAAGCCAAGTTAGTAAGCATATAAGCTTATTCACTTTCACTACAAACTTCCTCTTTTAGAAGTGGTTAATTACTATATAATGCGAAGAACAAGTCATGTGTGCATAGTATATATAAGCATATAAATGTATGTTTGTAATTTGATCGTCGTGCTGCTGATGCGGCCACTGATTACAGTCTCCTTTTCGATTCAAATCAAGGGAAATAAAATTTTCTGTTACTTATTGAAATAAATTTCTTTTTTGCAATATGTATCGAAAGTTCTGCATTAGTAGTCGATATATGTATACACGTAGCGTGTAAAGAGCAAAATAATCATTTATATTAACAATGAATTGAATCAGCGGCGGCATGCCGCCCCACTAACCTCCATCAGCTTACAGTGTTTATAGAATGCAAATGATACGAAAATATTCGTTGGTACAATATACCTACATGAACATACATAGAAACTCTGTGAACTGACAAGTGATCGGTATGCAGTAAGGCTTGGGCATGCGAATACAACGAAACACTCAAGTGACAAACTTTCTTTTCTTCTCAAAATCGTACGCAGCGGCGGCGAATGTCCATTCATTACTTTTGATTTTATTTTTGAAATTTTTTTCTTACTGTTCCATTTTCTCTCAACTGTACACGCTTAGTAAAATAATGAAGGGAAAATCATATTAATTGCTGAATTTGCTTGAATTTTTATTTGCACTTTGCTTGTAGTTGTTTGTAGTTTGAGTTTCATTTACCTCGAGAAAATGAAAGCGAAATTCTATTATTCAATTCTTTATATGGTCGAGCCATCGCTTTAATGAAGAAGACGATCAAGTTTGCTATTACATTCGCCCATCAAACTGCCGCCTATGCATGCTATGCGGCATGCAAAATCGTTAGTCTGTCGTGTCTATATGATTTAGTGGATATAGCACTTGCTACCACACACACATATATATACTTGTATATATGCTTTGTAAATACCCGTTGGTATATACTATGACTTAATGGCCTACCGTGTGAATCACTCTCGCCAACACCCGGCACTTTCATCTCACTGCCCACGGTGCGACTCATAACGGCACGTTTTTTTCATGATTCTCTTCTTTGCCTTTTTACTGTAAATGTACAAGTTTTTCAACTCGATTAAAATGTAAACACTTTTTTATGCAGTAGTTTTACATATGTAAGTAATATATGTACTTGCAGGTAAATACATACTTATGCAGAGCCGTAAGTACAACTAGTTACTCCGCTTAGGTAAATAGCCTGCAATGAAGGGCAATGACATTTGTTGTCATTGAATTAATAGCTTGTCAAGTAAATTTTTTATTCTTTGCTTTGTTTTTGTTTTTATTTTTGTTTTTAAGAAAATGTGGACATGGAAATGGCCAACCAATGTTACCGTACGTTGTTATTGCTCGAGTCTACCTATTGAGACTTTCTATTTAGTTAATCGTCATCGTCATAATTATCAATTATGAAGGCAAAATCTTTTTTCTTCGGCTATTACATGGTTTAAAGGCATTAAAGTTATACAATGAAAAGCCGTTAATGTCACACACTAGCGGTACTGTGAAAAAGAAAAGCTATGTTTCGACATTCATTAAAAGAAAAGCCAATAATAAAAACTTTGTTCACCAAATTTATGTTTATTGAATAACTTTCGAAAACTATTAAAAGGGTTTTGTTTTTCTTGACAATGCGAATTTCTTGGCGAAAAGCTGCTTTTGTTTATTAGTACTGAATCGCTCGCAATTATATTTTGAAAGACCGATGTAGATTAATTGGAGTGCCATAGCTGACTAGTAAGTTTCAGGATTTTTCAAGTGTTTATATTATAATAACATTGTATTTGTTGCTTAAAAGTTTAAAATACAATTAAGCGAAGGAAATGCTTATTTTGAACTGGATCTCAATTACACGTATAGCACGATAACAATTGTGATTAAAAGTGAAAGGACTTGCTTAAAGTTCTTCCTGAAGATCTGAATCATAAAAAGATTGTTCGTATTACTACAAACCCTTAGGCATCCTATATATGTAAAGTCAAACGGCATTTGGTTGTCTATTAAAATCGCCAAAACGACTCTTACTGCAAAAAAGCGTCGATAGAAATGAAAATGATCCTAAAACTTGAATTACTCTAAAAATCCTCTGAATACCCCTCACTTTCCTTAGATGCAATATAATATCTGCAAGATAGCTGCCTCGCACTCAACTTCGATAAACTTTTCGAATAGATAATCGACATTTAAATAATAATACGAACAGAACAATCATACCAGGCACTTTCGTTTTTACACACTGACCTGGTATCATATAACAAAATTGGTTAAGCCGCAATCAAATTAATACATTTTTTACCTTCTTACTTATTACTATTATACATACTACATACAAATTGCTTCGGTCATTTATTTACCTTTTAATAAACTCGTATTGCATATTAATACTTCTGCTTTCTTTGGATCAGTTTTCTTAAGCAACGAATGAAAGACTATGCATTGATCCGTAGAAGGCTTTTCCGTCAACAGGGTGGCACATTGCATCTATACGAGCAAAAATCAACATACGTGCGCGTCTATTTACAATCACTCTGTTCTATTCGGGCTATCTACTGTTGCCTTAGAAAAGAGCGAATACTTTGTTGTACTTCTAAGCTCTTTGCTGGTCACACACATCTAACATTCCATAGAAAGAAAACACAACAGAACTGAATTAACTAACACTTCAGAGTATAACAAACAAAACAAATATACAAAACCAAGAGACGGCTTAAACTATTTCTGTAAAACCCGAGAGCTGAGAGATGTTTGATTCGGGATCGCTTTCGAGTTTAGCGATCAGCTGACTTTTACAGGCTATAAGAAATCTAACTAGAAATCACTATATTTATCTATTTAAGTAAATATTGTCGTGGAATAAGATTAAGACTTTCAATAAAGTCTTGTTGTTTCCTTAACTAACCCAATATGGTATGTAAAAAAATGGAGAGCATACGAACTAGATTGAGCTGCTAATTCAAAGAAAAAAGTTTGCAGATACTTTTATTATAAGAATTGGTTTATGGAATATTTGTTTTTATGATCTTGGCAGTTATTTTACTTTTTCATCATTTCGCTTTTTGTGGGCATTCTTCTTAAATGCTGAACCCATTCTAATATATGTATTTCGTGATTGTTAGCTGCTTCAAATAATAAAGATACAAAGTTTATATTGGCATTCCGAAATACTTGATTGTTCTATTTCACGACAATTGATTGCCACCTGAGTACCAAAAAAATATATTTTATCGACTATTCAGATTCAAAGCAGGAAAAGTTGCATTAAGTGAGTTTTTTCTACAGCCCTGAAAGCTTTCGGGATTAAAGACACAAAGTGGTGACCGCTCGCAGTATGCTTAGAAATATACTCATACGCATCAAAGATACTCGCACAATGTGGTATATAGAAAATGACAAGCACCGTTAGATTGAGGTCGATGACCCATATATGGTCAAGTGGAAGTAAAAATTGTATTGGCGATAAATATTAAATACTCACCGCTACTGTTCGGTTAGAAATAAATACAAAATAACGATAACAAGTATATACATACATATGTACATATGTATGTTACTACACATATATACAGTCTTAGGGTGTTTGTGTAGATATATTCAGAGACGTTTTTAATGCTTATGTTGGACAACGGAAGAGCATGTTATTCTCTGTTCTACATCCGTGGACATATGTGTTTGTGTGTGTGTGTGGGTAATAATAAATGTGTTTGTTTGCAATTAAATCCATTAACAGCTATTAGTATCGAAGTATCTTGGTGATCGCTTGTCGCTGGTTTTTATCTCTACGAACGCTGTATAAAATAAAGAGTTGTCATGTGTTTCTATACATTTGTACATATATGTATGTATGTATGCTTTAGCATTTCCGCAACACATTTCAGTAAGAAAAGATAATTTAGATTGAAAGTAGACTACTGATAATCAAAATGTATTGAATTTTATAGTATAAATGTATATATATAAAAGGTAAACTTGGTTTTAACGATTTCAAAACTTTTCAGTAAAATTTTAACACTTTACTTATCTGTGGGGAGCTTAAAGCAAGTTACTCGTTGAAAAAAATAGTTTCGGAGTTCATTTGAGCTGACTTTCAACCCAAATAAATCGAATATCTTTACTTTTGCAGTAAAATCATGTAAGCACATACGCTTATACTCGAGTGCAATTTCTAAGCTCTCGTTAATTCTAACACAAGTTTTGAAGTAATATTTCGAACTACTATATATCTAATTTGTGGGAAAATCATTTAAGTAGGCCAATATATAATTATCTTACAAATTTATATTTGATTTGGAGATATTAAGTATCCGTCGAGCTATACATTATTACCTCTAATCCGTAGTTGAATACACAATATTTTAAAATAAGTGAAGCTTTTGTCTGTGCCCAGAACTGTGTCAAAGTGCTATGGTTTTTAATTTACTAAATCTAATAACTAATTGATATAATGTAGTACGTTAATTATTTAAGTAGTTGTCGCTTGATTGCTTCAGAACCACCAGTCCAAGTTCGTTGCTTAAGTCTTTTGAATATCTCGCGAGCTGAGTTTTTAACGGCTGATAGGTGCTTACCAATAATATACTATTGCAAACAAATATGGACGAGATAAATTAAAAAGATGTGGAAAACAGCCAACATTCACTCAATGAGCAATTTGATTAATATTCAAACATTCCATGCAATAATTATTGGAAATAACGCTACCTCTGCGAGTCTGCCAAAGTTTAGTGCACTTCCATTTATAATACTTTCGAGCAGTTTTAATACCGTTTTGAGTTGTCCCATCTTCTGTAATGGCTTCCGGCTAAATAAACAAACCACAGACTTCATTCCAGTCTACCAGACACTTCAACATGTCTGCACTCATATACATTTTCTAGTCGTTTAGCACTTCTTTTTACGCTTGAAATTCATCACAGTACCGGTTTGTGTCACCTAACGTTTAAAATGATGGCATCGAAGATGACTGCATAACGCTTAAGTAATATGTAAAACAAATCAACAGAAATATCAATTTTACTACTAAAACTGTAGAAAAAAGAAAAAACATTTAAAATATACGACCTCATAAATGGTGTAATTTTTCAATACCCGTTGGTGGATAACTCTCTATTATTAAGTAGAAGTATATGCTGACAGGGGCCTCGTGGCATTGATGCTTTATAAAATATGTTCTACGTGGTTGCAAAATAATGATAAAAGAAAATAGTAGGCAGGTATGTATTGTACTAACAAATAGGTATGTATATATGTATTATGAATTATAAAAACTCAATAATATTGTGTTAAATGTGGGAATAATTTCTTCTCTGCCAAATTCACAGAAATTTTTCTGTCAAAAAATATGCGCAGCATATCCCGCGCAAAAACTGATAAAATCCTTAAATTGCCTGTTTAATGGTTGATTGGAATGAGTGCCTCGTACCGTTGACTATGAATTATTAACGGTTACACACAAGATTATAGAAATATGCGCAGCGCTTTGAAGACAAAATGTTCAAAATGTTGGATGCTTCCATTTACCGTTGACTCTTATGGTTGTGGGAATTCTCCAACCAGTAACCAGTTACTTTTACAAACGCCTTAAGCAGGAATTTCACTTTGTGCATAATAGTTACTCTCCCAAAGCCGTATACACACACACACACACCCACACACTTACATACGAACATTCTTAAAGCATACACAGATATTATGTACGTTGAGCAGTTAAGATTGATGTTGAGTGCTGTTCGTTATGTTTATGATGTGATGACGGACGAGGCTAATTTTCATTTCCCATCACATTTCCACAACAACAGCAATAACCCACCAACTCACGCGTTCGTATCAAATCGAAAGTCTCAAAGCGGTACCCGACATTGGCATTACGCCTGTAATTACTGTCATTTGACACCAACTTTGCTGAAATCTCTGCAACCGCTTTAGCGCCAAGAAGCGTTTGACCCAAAATTGTTTTTTTTTTCACCAAAAAAAAAAACACTCGAAAGACGTTGTTAATGGGTTCGGCTTCACGCCAGTACGCTTGAATATTTTAATATTTTTTTATAATATTCTATATATGTATTTACAGTAAATGTATGTATGTGTGTATGCAAATATGTTAATTCGACCGCGGATTTACGATGCTCTTTCTCCGTGAATATGCTTAACCTAGTTTCTTACTCTTCTCGCAATCAGATTTATTCGAAATGAATCATTCGAATAATTATCTCACTCATCATATGTGTGCACGCACAAATACAAGTATGGTATGCATGTGTGATAAAGGTACGTACGGACGTAAGTACAAACACGTTCTCATTATCCACATTAAAATCATTTCAATAAATCATTATATTTTGTGTGAATTCAAGTGAATGGCATGCATGAAATTTCACTTTGCGTACTTATTTTTTTGTTTAGGGGTGTTGTGGTATTCAAGACAGATTTGCGCAACCCAATTCTGATTTTCAATCGAGTATACGCAAAACCAATATTGGAATCAGCTGTTTCTAATGTGACAAAACTTGCAATAATAAATTTGGAAGCATTTGATAAATTTAAAATACTGAATAAAGTCTACTACAGTTTACAATTTTACCTTTTATTATATTTGAAGATAATAAATTAAAAGGAAGATATTAAGTAATCACAGTAATCCACTTGATGCATGTCAAATGTGGCTTGGATTTATTTGTATCGCTTTATACATGCTTACTTTACAAATTTATATGACATTATCGACTGAATAAAGACGCATTTGGGTGTTAAATTACGTTTATTATGTTTTGCAAATTTTCTTAAAATATCTGGATTTTTTCCATAAACTCAATAATTATGACATTTTGTGTTTTATGCTTAGTTTTCCCCTATAGAAATAACGATAAATTAATTAACTTATTAACTACTATCCTGGTGCTTTGTTTCTGATAACAAAACCGATAAAATTTGTTTTCGATTTTTGTTTCGAACGTCAAACTAATAATATCTGAATTCAAGACATCCTTCAAGGAGTAGCGATCGCTTTCATCGGATGCGATTTATTCCCAGCTTTAGCCGGAGTTATTATTTGGAGAATATTTTGTTTGGCATAAATTGATTTGATTGTATCAACGTATGAAAACGATGCAAATTTATCCCTACCCAATTATGGTTATGCTAAAGCCTCTACTTCGAATAGTATATTTAATCTTCTATACGTCTCAATACTCTTTCTATAAAATGTGTAACCTTTCTACTTCACTAATTGTGCCAATTTTATGTTTTTATTGTTTATATAAAGTACATATAAATTTAAAAATATTAATATTGGAACCAAAAAAATCACACACAACCCTTTACAAATAAAAAAGTTTCCATACAGGGATTTTATTTTGATCGGTCAGTTTGTATGGTGGATATACAGTGACTTGTAGAATAATCCATGCTGAATTTGGTGAAAATATCTTGTCAAATAAAAAAGGTTTCCATCGTTAAGTTCAGTTCGGTTCCGACATGTGAGCAGCTGCTTAGAGATAAAAGGACGTGTGCATTTTTTGGATCGATGGCTTAAAAATGGAGGGACTATTTCGTGTTTATACAGGCAGACAGACAGACGAACATAGCTAAATTGACTTAGCTGGTCACGCTGGTCATTTATACATATATATATTTTATAGCGTCTCCGTCGTTTTCTTCTGGGAGTTACAAACTTGATGCTCTCTTTTGAAACTATCCTATGAATATCCTCCCAGTATTTCTTAATACTTGTGCGCAGACCACTCTTTCTATTTTGGTAAATTAAAAAGTTTTAATTACTTTCTTTTCTTTCTTATATATATTTCTTTATTAATATTTTTTATACGCAAACCGCAATTTGCTCACAGAATTGTTAGAAAACTAAGTGCCCAGGCAACCGAAAACAAATCAGAAACCAACTTCACTTGCATTTAATAAAAGCGTTGAAAACTTATATATGGTACATGAGACGAGCTAGCATGAATATATATGTACGTATATACATGTGTGTAAATAAAGTGACTTCTGAATAATACTTTGGCGTATATTTTATGCGATTTTCCTTACTCATATAGACTATGTGGATCCTTTGAAGAATTTTTTGTGAAGTTGACTCTTTAAGCATACAAAATATATTATAGTTGTCTAAATATGTATTAATCTCCACTCATGTATATTACTATATATATAAATATATATGTAGAGATGCATAATACATAAATAAAACAGTAAGCAGACAATTGTACAAGGCGATACTGGTTTGCCACTGAAGAAGAGGCCAAAGTTGGGAACAACAGCAACAGAATTCAAGACGTTCATGGCCATAATAGCCATGCACCAATACAACACCAACATGTTATTGGAATGAGTAATAAGCAGTGAGCAGAGAATCAACATCATCCATTTTCTACACAATTTTCTCCCTGTTCGTTTTTTAATGAGGTCACTTACATTGGTTATGCTTCTCCAAAAGCACCGGTATGCCATTTTGGGTAATGCACGTATTTGTTGTACAGCAGATAGTTATTTCCAAGAAGACAAAACACAACGTCGCAACCAAAGGGGCAGCTCTCCACGAATGCTTTTCTCAAATTGCCTTTATATTATAAATATAAACAATTCAAAAATGTGCACATTTACATAAATAAAATCTCAATTCACTTTCCACTATCGATCACTTTAATCATATGTACGTGTGCATTTGTGTGACTTTTTTTGAATTCTTAATTATTTAGTTATTTTTAAGCATGTAACGTTTCTCTTTTGAACCAAGGTTTGGGTTAATGGTAAAAATATTAAGCGGAATTTCGTTTCGAACGCGTAAGGAACGACAGCAGCGAACAGCGAATGGCAATGACGAGCGTTTGCTTTCCAATACACGAACCGAACTAGTCGAGCGCTCACCTTAGACTGACGGTTAAAATATCTTTTACGATTTCTTAAGCGTTCGCCTGTGATTTGGAGCCAGTTCTTGTCCAACAGCTGCTTGGCGTTGCTAGCGAGCAGTCCCCCCGCTTAATGATTTGGTCGCTTGCTTGGCCGAGCAGGTTTTTGTGCTAGCGCTCTTGCTCTGTCACAGGAACTGTGTTTTCTTCTTTTGCCACACACACCACTACATCTCACGCTATACGAATTTCTTCGCGGCTGTATCCACAGACACACATGCGATTATACACATGTACAGGTGTATAAATTAGTATGTGTGTGATGAAGCTGAAAATTTCTCGCGCTTCATTTTCCCATTCTGTTTGCACTGATAGCGCGACCATGCCTTTAATTAATTTTTGGAATTTTTCTTTCAACTTAAGTTATCAAAAAGCTAGACTTACATACGTATGTTAAACGTTTTACGAGTTTTAAACCCTTCTTTTTTTTAGCTTACAAGCTTAAGTCGACCTCTTATGTACGACAGATAAAAAACTACAAATTCATATGGTTGGTCCACAATCATGGTGAGTTTGAAGCGCACAATTGATTTTTTAATTACAAATGCATTCCCTTAACTTTTCGACCTCCCCTTTCAGCCAAAAAACGAACTACTAGCCAAGTTTTATTTGTTCCTCTTTAGTTAAATACTCAGCTACTTACACAAGATAATAGTCAGAAGATTAATGTCGAAGGATATTTAGAAGTAATTTAGTATAGTTTAGTCGGAGCTTCTGATCCTCTCTTTAACAAGGAACTACTACTTTAGGGCATCATAATACAGAAATCTCTCAGTGTGCTTTTCCATATTTCAATGGTCTGGAAATCATGATATCGAAACGTTTATATTATATAAGCTTAAATTATTTATTATTAGACCCTTAAAGGTTTAATAAAACTTTAATTGAGAGCAAGTAAGTTAGAGATGATACTTCGCTAAATATTTCAACTAAGAACACATTACCATACCAAGTGCTGTAAAAAGAATAACTGTCGATCAGTGAAATATTTTTGAAATTGCTCTCACCTATGAGCCCCTTTTGTCTGGATAACTTCACTTTAAAATAATAAAAAACGTCAACTTCGGTTGCACCGAAGCTAGAATAAAAGTGAAGTCAAAATACCTTATCAAATAAAACAGTTTTTCATATAATATTTTGATTGTTCAGTTCAGCTATATGTTATAGTAGTCCGATCAAGACGGTTCCGACAAATGTCCAGCTTCTTTGAGAAAAGGACGTGTGCGAAATTTCAGTTTGATATCTCAAAAAACGGAGGAATTAGTTCGCGTATATACAGACGGACATGGCTTAATCGACTCAGCTCGTCACGCTGGTTATTTTTTTATGTATATATTTTATAGAACATCCGACCTTATCTTCTGGGTGTTACAAACTTCGTGGCAAACTTAATACATATACCCTGTTCTGGATAAAACAAATAAAAATCATATAACTTTACTTCGTGTTTGTCGTGCCTTGCAAAGGAAAATCTAGATTTATATGGTAATTAATTTTTTTACACCTTCTCTTCGACTAAAATGGACTCTTTTTTTCTTCAAATAGTTTCATTTCTGGAAATTAATTTTTTGGCACAGAAATCACAATTTCTTGATATCCAAGTAAAGACATTGCCAATATATCATATGTATGTATGTACAAATATTTTTGTTTTTTCATTGAAAGGTGGGTTGTGAATTTTTAGAATGAAGGGAGCACAAATGTTGGCAGCTTACACTTCATCAAAGCAACTTTAATGGTGACGTGTTACCTCATAGTGTTGTTGTTATCTTAATTTATATTTACGCCTTCTCTATTCTTATAATGCTGAGGTGCGGCTAAGTGTTTACAATTCGTTTAAAAATTTAAAGAAAGTTTCTGCAATTCCTCCACAATCAAATTGTCTGCTGGGTAATCCAAAGTACTGACGTGCATGCGTTTTCATTCAAAAAATTTCACCTTGTACGCGACATTTTTAACAATTTCTTATTTAACGTAGACATTATAAAGCAGAGCATTGAAACGGAAAGCGTTTCTTATTTGACAATTTGGAATTGGACAGGTGTAAGTTAAAATCAATCACGACGAGTTCCTATATAATAGCAAAAGCCTGATATTTTTTATGCTAACTATATTATTACTAATTGAATTAAATGTGAAAACGGAAAAAATATTTATTACTTGTTATAATATGGCTGCACACGATGGGCAAAGAGCGTGTGAAAGAGGTGTAAACACAATGCATGACAAAATGATCTGTCGACGTTGGCGAGAAAAATAATTCATATCGATTTCGATTTAGACGTAATTTTTTTTTATTTTACTCGTTTTGGTGGTATATGCTGGGAATGGAAAGTGAAGATGATTAACAATGGTGTGGGTTCTTACATAACCGTACACAAATTTACAAACTGAAAACGCTTGAACTGATCATTTTAATTGACGCATGCACACGCTGCTAAGTATACGCTATGCGACTGTAGTAAGTATAACATATTTTGTTTAGCATTTATGGTTATACTTCAATATATCTGAGAAATATACTTACATACTTATTTAAATGCTCAAATATCAATCAATAAGTATGCATTTATTGTGTGAATGTTTTTTTTTGAAAACATATGTACCCATATGGTATGTATATCCAGTAATAAAATACTTGAAATGGTTTACAAAAGTAGTTAACTTTTTTATGTTTTTATTACCAACTATCTATTTCATGTTCCAATTTAAATTTTTCAATATATTGAAAAAAAATTATTCAAATGTCTAATTTAAATAAAATGTATACATATATAACATATACAGAATTTCAACTAAATTATTATCGTTATAGAATCTAATCTATTAACTTCGATCTAACAGTGTCTTTTCGACACTAAATTCATGAATACCCCAAATAAAAACAACAATTCCCCACTCAACATTCTTATCTGAGAATAAATTTTTTTCTTATCGCTCCACAAAAGGTGTGTCAAAAACGTTTTCAAGTCTACTTTACACTTCTGTGTATTTTTTTTATAAAATTAGCATTAGCACATATTTTAAATATAAGCCTAAGTTGAATTGAAGAAGAATTGTATCAAGTTGCAATTCTATTAGCATATGAACGCCAATGTCTGTTGGAGACTCTATACAACAGAAGTAAGTCACGATCCATATAAATAAAGGGGGTAAGTATGGATGTATATACAAGTGTAAAGATTATTAATTAACAAAACGATTAAATGTGAATTCAATTATTTAAATATTGTACTTTCCGCAAACATCACATATGTATATGTAAAGGTATGTCTTTCGTTACACATACATAAATTGATATCTGTATGTATGTGTACCCATGTGCGCATGCGAGACACATAAAAACGTTTGTAATTATTTGTGCTACAATTGTCAACCAGCTAAATGAGTGATGAGAAAGTTGCTGTTGTTCCAACGTAATTATACTCCACACTTTTTATATCTTTATTTGCAAGCAAATTGAATAAAATACTTATTAGTACAGCAAATTAACGCAAACGATATGATATTTATGTGCTACATAAAAGTCTATATCTATTCACGTTAACTGTGATTTCAACACGTTTTACAACTTTTCTTTTGTTATGCTGCACATATTTTGTTGATAGCATTACGAGCGCTTAGTTTCCCTCGCTAAAAGTTAACAGCTAAAATCACTGTTACAAATTTGGCTTAGACCGGTGAGTATGTACACACATACATACATACACATGTATATTATACATACCAGCTCGTACTTTGATGGATGCGACAGCAATTGGCGTCATTAGGCAGAGTCCGATTGTCATCGAGAAATCCGCTACACTGCAATCATTACGATTTACAAATGCTGAAGCAAAACAACACATGCATTTAGTACGTACACATTTAGAAAAGTAATAAAAATAAATCAAAATTTTAAAACATATGTATACATACAAGACACAAAACAAACCATTTGCGCAAACAACAACAAATTACATTTTGGAACAATAAATACAATGCGCATGCGCAACCAAGCCGTTCAGCGAAAGTAACTGAACAAGTTCCAACGGTTTTATCTTTGGCAAATGACCAAAACCGACCGTACAAATTAGCATTTTTTTTTATATTACACTACCACATATGTATATAAGTATTTGTTTTAGGGTAGTCAACCATAAAAGGGTGAACTAATCATTTTCTATTGGCATAAATTTTAGTCTACATCCTATTGCATTAGCCAAGTGCAGGCAATATTTCCTTTCACTTATACATTCATATTTGTATAGATTGCATTCGGAATTTTTAAAAATCCTTTAAATTAACGATATATAAAATTTAACACTCCAATTATAACATAAAATTTCGTTATAAATATCATTCATACACTTTGGTGAAAAAAGAATATTTATGACTTTATTTCTTTTGTTTCAAGAATATTTAGTTCTCACATCGGAAACATACATATACATATATTGTAAAATTATATACAATGCAGATGTATTCAAATTACTTAAACTACACTATAACTATATTTCTTAATCTTTTACATTAATTAGCTTTGATATTGATGCAAATTATATATAGAGCAAATTTTAAAATTGTTATTCAAATTTAATTGAGTTAACACCCATGTCAATTTGACCCCCACGATAGCTTCCACGCTTCTTCTTGGTTTTTTCATGTTTAAATGACTTTCCCCGTGTATATTTCAAATCTTTGTTCGCTCGATCACCCCACGAACCAGATGCATTTCTCTGTAAAGCAATAAAATTAAGGTTTTCGTAATCATACATCAACATAAATAACACAAGCGTATTTAAAATAGTCGGCGAAATGTTAACGAAATTGTTATGTTGTGTTTTCTAAAATATTTTTCATTCGTTTATCATACGCCTAATCATCAAATGTGATCTTTTTATTCTGTGACCCTGATGAATCGAATGATTTATTAAAGGGTTTATTCGCTCCACCGAAGTTTCCGCGTCCTGATCCACGACCACGTCCACCAAAGCCACCACGACCGCGATCACCGCCACCAAATCCACCGCGACCACGATCACCACCTCCGAATCCACCACGACCACGATCACCGCTACCATATCCACCACGACCACGGTCACCACCTCCAAATCCACCACGACCACGATCACCACCTCCGAATCCACCACGACCTCGATCGCCAAAGCTGCCACGACCACCACGTCCACGTCCACCACCACGTCCGCCACCGCCGTTTTCAAAACCACCAAATGATTTTCTCTCTCCAAACTTTTGGAAACCGCCTTCTCCGTCACCGCCGGCACCACCACCTCTACCTCCTCTGCCGCCTCCGCGACCGCCAAAGCCACCGCCGCCGCCTCTTCTATTATTAAAGTCTCCACCTTCACTCTAATATGATCACATAAATGTTTTGTGAATCGGTTGGCAATAGTTAGGGTAACAGCACATGAAAAAGGAAACACAAATTATTTTATTTTTGAATAATTTCAAATTAAAATCACTTAGAGTAGAACATTTGTTCGAAATAATAATCGGCTTTGTCGCTAAACCGTTGTGAAAAATTTCTTCATAAAATGGAAAACATAAGAAAAATTAAGGATTTGCTTATGTTTTACATTTTATGAAAAATCCATAGATTTTGCGATAAGACCGTTGGAAAAGAGTACATAATGACGAAAAGCATTTAGAGGTTTTATGTCTAAGGCATAAATCCGTCATAAATAAGTAAGTGCCTCAAACATAAATTTCATAATTTGTGAATTCCATTTTCAGCTGCGATATTGACAGTTCGTAACAATTTCGTCGTACATTTCACCCACTTAATAAACACCATTTGAGGCACTTACCTTGGCTTCGAATGACATGTCTTTAACCCGTTCATCTATTTCTACCTCCTCTTCACGCACTCTTCTGAAGGGCGTATTTTTTTTCACTTCACCATTTGATTTTCTCTGAACATTAAAGTTTGCTTTACCATTAAAATTTGGTGTAGATGCAAACCCTTTTTGCTGTGGCTTTAGAAATTTTAAATAATGTGTTAAAAGGCAGCTACAAAATATTTTATATGTTTTAAATTACTTAGCTAAATTTAATACTTTATATTAAATCTGTCAAAAAACAAAGATTTTCTGTCGAAGTTTTTGAACTTTATAACATTAATCTTCTTTCTTTAAATCAAAGCTATCATTTTTGTGGTTAACTTCACCTAACTTTAGTTCAAGGAATTCATATTTTTTTACGTACCTTGCCTTCGCCGCTTTTAACGAAATTATTATATTTATTGTTAGACTGATTTTTTCCAGCAGCAGATTCATCAAATTTTCGCTTTACTCCTACTTTTGGTTTAGGCTTCTCTTCTTCGTTATTGTCCTCGTCGTCATCGTCATCGTCATCATCAGAGCTGTTTTCCTCTTTCTTTTGTGCCTTTGCTGGTGCTAAAACCTTTGGCTTAGGCTTCGCTGTATCATTTTCGCTGTCATCAGAATCACTGTCGTCACTTGATGATTCAGCTTTCTTGCTAACAGCAACAGCCTTAAAAGCCCCTACGGCTTGTTTTTTTGCTGGTGGTTCATCATCAGAAGATGAATCCTCAGAGCTAGAATCTTCCTTTTTTGTTGGCACAGCAGCTTTAACAATTGCTGCTTTCTTCGCTGGAGGCTCTTTATCATCGGACGAGCTGTCTTCGGAACTACTTGAATCTTTCTTATTTTTGGCCGGGACTACATTCTTTTTTACAGTCGGCGTAACAGCAGGAGTTTCTTCATCACTGGAGCTATCTTCAGAACTAGATTCCTTCTTTGCTCCTACTTTTTTGGCAGCTGGTTTAGAATCTTCGTCGGAGCTGTCCTCATTAGATGAGTCAGCTTTCTTTGTAACAGCAGCAGCTTTGACTATGGGCTTCTTTGAAGCGGTAACTTTAGGTTTTTCGTCTTCACTGTCTGAATCTGAATCAGAAGAGCTTGCTGATTTTACACCTGCATTGGCTTTAGTAGAGACAACCTTGGTGGGTTTAGCATCTTCTTCACTTTCCTCGGAGGAGCTGTCGCTTTTCTGAGCGGTAACAGCTGTGGCTGGTACTGACTTCTGTGCGGGTTTCGCATTTTCTTGTTCACTATCACTGTCTTCAGAACTGTCTTCAGTGTCATCTTTCTTTGCAACATTTTTAGCTAAAGGTGCCTTTGATGGTTTAGTTTCTTCTTCACTATCAGATTCTTCACTGCTTGACTCTTGTTTTTGTTTTTGTGGCACCTTATTTGTAGCAACAGGTTTGACAGGTGATTTGACTTGTGGTTGGTCATCAGAACTATCATCACTAGAACTCTGTAAAATAATAACCATAAAAATCACATAAGAATTTCAAACTCTAAACTATTAATTTACCTCTTTCGCCTTTTGTGTCACCGATTTGCCAACTTTATTTTTTACTGCTGGTTTCTCGTCTTCAGAACTTTCTTCGCTTGAAGATTCATCTTTCTTTGCCTTGGTATCTGTTTTTTTTACTACTGGTGCATCTTCTTCTTCGGAACTACTATCATCGGAGCCGGATTCTTGCGCTTTACCTTTCGATGTAACAGCCTTACCATTGGTTAAAGCCGAAATAGGTTTATTAGTCTTTAATGCTGCTGTTTCTTCTTCTTCTGAAGAACTGTCCTCATCACTCGAGTTACCTGCGAGAGATTTGATCACAGGCACCTTCTTCTTGTTACTTTGTTGATAACTTTCAATAATTTGCTCCAACTTTGGAAAGCCTTTACCGACGGTACCCTGAAAAAAATAATTCAGCTTTATTTAAAAACCGTCCTACCATAAAAAGTACTGTACCATATACATACCGCATTTGTTTTTTGTTGAAATACTTTAGCCAAATTCTTATCCCTTTTCTTTAAATACTCTAGCACGAGTGCAGATATTAATTGATCATTTGTAGCCATTATTTTAATCACTTATATTTCAATTAATTATAGAAACGCTATACGAAAATAAACGTGGAACTACAACCAACACGTGCTAACACAGTCGAAATTGCAAAGAGGCAGAATACCAGAATACAAGAACAACGTTTATCGCATAAATCGACAGGAAAATTACAATCGCAGAGATGCATTTAAAAAAAATGTGTTTCATAGAGGTGCCACATAATAATAAACAACGCTAATGACAGAGGACGTATATCATAATTTACGTTCTCTGCTAATGAGATATTATTTAAATAAAGTTACGAATAAAAAATGTTTTATATTTTAAAAATTTATATAGACTGCAGATATAATTCATAAAATTCTGAAGTTAAGAAAAAAATTTATATTAGATTTTAATGGGAATAGATAATATAGTTGCTAATTTTGATAACAAACATATATTCATTAGTAACATTAAGCGTTCATGTACCATACAGGCAGAAAATGTAAAATATAATATACGTTCTCTGATACAGGTTTGATATTCTATCCTAGATTATCTGTTTTTTAGAATTGGTAGCATTTACATTAAAAGGTGTTGCCAGTAACAACTTTTTCACAATATTTCGACCAAATGGTATTCACGCAGGACGCTAAAGTTTGTGATTCATTTTATTAGTTTGAGCATGGATTTACCAATTCATAATTGAACTTATATTATACACTTTTGGCATGAGACTAGTTTGCCTCCAATGAGCAACCGTTTGTAAAACTCCAAATAAAATAACTCTTATAATTTTTCAGGCGACATTATCTCCAAAGACCTTAAACGTAAATATATGGAAATAAAAATTACTACCATACATATCCAGGTTTCTTTTATATAAAAAATTATTCAATATTTTGGTTTTGTTTTAAGTTTTATTTTTAATGTTTTTTATAAACTTAAGACTTAAAATTATAAATTATTTGTGTTTTATTTTCAGTTTCACAAAAAGTCCAAACATTTGACGTCTTCTTTTTCAAGAATAAGTGTTTTCATTGTTAGTTTTTACTGGTGGTAGCAGTGTTGTAGATGGTGTTGTTGTTCTTCTCCAGGAAGGCATTTCATATGAACGCAGCAAAGACAGCTTCCCAATAGGATCTATTGAAAATGCCGGGACTTGTCAATGATGCACCCTCTTTCACTTAATACATACTAAATTCCACAACACCTGCTTTGCTTGACTACAAATAAACGTTCGCTACACTTAAATTGTAGCAATTTACATGCTCTTTTCGATCTTGATGAGTTCAGTGATGCCATCGTACATTTCCTTTACGGCCTGGTATTCGGTTAGACCCATGCGGCGTTTGTTGGAGATATCATAGATGCCACCCTCAGCTTCAGTGTGTTCACCACGAGTACCACGCACTTGCAAGTTGTATTTGCCAGCAACTTCCTCCAGTTTAGCAAGGTTGGCAGCCAATTTTGGCAATTTAATGTGCACAGACGCACGGATGGTGGTACCCAAGTTGGTGGGGCAGAATGTCAAGAAGCCCAAACGGTCGTCATGGCTGAATGGAATACGCTTCTCAATTTCATTCACGGCGTTTGTAAGACGACGGAAAACTTCACCCAAATCACCGCCCATTTGCATGGAAATGATACGCAAATGATCTTCCTCATTGCACCATACCAGGAAAGTCTTGTTGTCGTTGTGGTAGATACCACGTCCAGATGGCCAGTAACGGCAAGCATTGGCGGCTTGCAAGAAACGATCACCTTCCTTGAACAAGAAGTGATCATCAATCAATTGCTGTTGAACTGATTTCTCCATGCCGGTCAATGGGTAGAATTTACCCTTCAATTCGCCCTCCAAACCAGACAAAGTAGATGAAACCTTTTCTTCCATTTCTTTGTACTGGGCTTCGGTGAGACATGGGTTGAATGGGTAGCCTTCAAGGGAGCGGCCGCAACGCACACGAGTGGAAATAACGAATTCATTGTTGGGATCCAAATTTCCAAAAGTGCTTACATCACCAAAGTCCTTGGGTGGATGTTTATCGGTCTTCTTGAAACCACCATGGTAATCTTCAATGATTGGGTCGAACAAGTCAGAGAAGACGGTGTAAGCCTCAGCATCGGGAGCGTAAATACCAACACCAGAATCGTGATTGGCCAAGCCAGATTGAATAACATCCAACAAAGATGAGCCAAAAGTTGGGGTCTTCTTGTTTTTCAAGCTGTCGAACACTTCCTTAGTCAAGTACTTCTTCAGCAATGACTTGGAGTCAGAGGCAGCCAACTTGGCGTAACCCTCTTCCAATTTAGCGAGAACTGCAGCGTCAACCATGATGTTTAATTTTCTGCAATTAAATACAAAATTTAAAGAATATTAATATATTTGTAAGAAACTGCTTAAGTTAAATTAAAATATGACAATTACTTGCACCAGTCCGTGTAGCAGACATGAGAAACTTGCTCAAAACGCACTCCGCGGAGTATTAAGGGTCGAAGATTGATGAGCAAGCGCATTTTCTCAGCTTTTATATGAAATTTTTTTTAACGATATGATCAAAAATAAATATTTTAAATTAAACATTTATTGAAAAAAAGGATTTAGAAAGAAAGTTGTCAAAATACTAATATTAACATTACTTATGAATTCGTTTGATATTTTGTATATTATAGTGTTTCAATTTACTAAAATCCGCTAAAAACTAAACAAAAAGTGCTCCAGCGCACATTGCATGTGTGTAGAATGTGGTCTGCGCAAATACTCACAAAAGCGAAAAAACAAAACGAGACCGGCTTTTGTCCTGCCTCAAACCGACTTAATGACATGAATAGTTGTCACGCATGCGATCCAAATTAAGGGCGGTTAAGAGGAAAATGCGATGTGTATCTACTTTCTGTAGTATTTTATTTTAAGTTACCCCAATTCGGAATATTGCACAAACATTCAAATATACATACATACATATATATGACAGTTCCGGAATTCACATTGTCTCCACCCAAAAAACTTAAAAAATTTGAAGACCGGAAATGTGTGACTCATTTTACTGTTGCATCCAACAAATGTAATAATTTAATAGATCCTTTGAAGCGGGCGTTGTTTCTGCGACGACAGCATGACAGCAAACCTATGTGTATGTATATATTATACATATGTACTGATGTACACCCATGCATACATATGTATACCCGCGTATACCATGTACTTATTCCAATTATATTTTAACGAAGAGTATTTAATTTTTTTATTTTAATAAGCTTAAAAATCATAAAGAACCACGTAAATATGGAGACAAAAGTAAACTTATAAACATAAGGATGCAAAAAATCGAAACTAATATATACATATACATATATATTACATTCAACTTTTAGCATTTGTTCCATTTGCTAAAATCACACTTATTTGCAAATATGAAAAAAAATACACACCCTTCGTTGTTGATCGCGTCGCCATTCGCAGTAGTGGCCGAAGGGTCTGCAGTTGTGTTAGTTGCACCGTCCTCTACATTTTCGGCGGTGCCAGGCTTGTCTGCGGCAGCCGCATCCCCGTCGACCACTGTGTCCTTTTTATCTTTTGAAGCACAACCACCCATATCGCAGACTGTCTTTTTGTTTGATTTGTTAATACTTTGTACAGCAGTGGGATTTTTCGTCTACTTTTTTCTATATCTTCTCTACTTTGACTCTACGCGTATAGATAATCCTTAACTTTTGACGTGCAGAATTCAATAAATATCCTACAATACTGGCTATTTGTTATGCCTACCTCCTACTTTGGAAGGGCTTTTATCTTAATGTTAAATCACACAGTTTTCGTTTGTTTCAATATGATTCACTTTTGTCCAAAATGTAAAATGTTGGTATATCAGCGTTATTTTGAGGTTAGTAATTTGCTCAAAACCTCAAGTGGGCGTTTGATTATACTTATCTACTTTATGTAGTTTTGATATACTTCGTATATGTATGTAGGTATATTTTGTACATAAAAATTTGTTAAGATATTTCGTCTACTTTAACTATTGCTTAAGTTTGCACACCAACGCTTGAAATGAAATAAATAATTTCATTAGAGCATAAAAGGCGTAACACCTTTGAAATAAATATGTATGTGTACACAATTTTTAATTTTCGCAATTGTCGTTGTTGATTGAAGTTTATATAGCTGATTTTCCACTCTCCACTTGTCGACTTCTTTTAGTTACTTGCTTGTGGGATAATGGTGGGTTAGTTATGGAGTTTTATTACATATTATATTGTGTAAAATAAGTTATTTTATTTTAAGTGTCTTTGATTTCGTTGCTTATTGGCAAAAAGGACGCCTGACTTAGATATTCGTTAAAAACGTATTAACTTTGTAAAATTTTTGAAATTCCTCAAAACTTCTTCCAAAAGATTTTGATTTCACAAAGTTTGTGCGTAGCTGTTGATTGATTGATGTTTGCTAATCAATTCCGGTATTTTTTCGCCAGTTGTTTAGCAATACGAGCAAATTAAGTTATCCGTCATATGCTCAATAGAATTTCTTTTGAGTTTGCACGTTTTTCACGTTGGACAATGGTAAGGTAAGCTAATCTATTTTTTATATTTCTTTTCTAGTGGAAACTTTTTTTCAAAGTGCATTTAATACATTTGATTGTGATTTGAAATATACAAATATTTTAGACAAAACTTTTTTTATTACAAAAAACTACACGTTCGCGTTCGCAGTAAGCTAAACGTCGTCGCTTAATGAAAAATTCGTTTATTTGTGGCCGCCGCGCCCAAAAGTATACTTCAGTTATCCTGTGTACAGCTATGATTTTGGTAATTTGATTTGGTAGCTTTGCAAGCGTACGCGAGAAGCTGACTGCTAGCTAGCTAGTGATTTGCCGACAACAAACGAACGCAATCGGAAATTTTAAAGGAACTAAATTTTAGATTCAGGAATCAGCTATGCAGAGGTGGACTTTTTAAATAGCACTTCTACCCGGTGAACGGTGGATATTTTGTGGTTAACGGCATCAGAAGCATGTTGTTGTTGTTCAATAAAGGCAGACGATGCATGCATGTCAGCTATTTGACTAAAAGCTGAATGAAGAGTAACCGGAGAGATTGGAGAGCGAAGTGGTACACATGTGTATATGTGTACATTTTTCACCGGGGGATGGAAAAGGATATTGTTCTTCAAATAATGGCAATTGAATGCATCAAATTGTGATTTTATGAAATCAATGGACAAAATATAGCAATATTTTTTGATGGCACATATAAAAAGTTAAGTATTTAATATATTTTTAGTAATATTTCGGCGACAATCATTTAGTTAAACAATGGTGTTGCATACGTTGAGCACTGTTTAGCGCTTGCGCGTTCAAAAGGTAGGAAAGAATATGCTCATTCTAAGATTTTATACTCCCGACGGGCCCATTATGATGGTTTGTATTGTCACAACGTAAAATATACTATTATATCGTTAGGTATAAATATGGTAACTCCAAACTGACTTGTAATAAAAGTTGATAACCTTCTAAAATCATCATGAATTATGTTGACAAAGAAAATATGCAACGCCAAAAAGATCATTTGTGACTTCATAAATTATTTAAGTGCAATACCCGTTTTTATCATTAGGTCTATTCTATCTCTGATCCTATAAGGGAAATATTCAGGGAAGGAGAGAGGGCATAGATCAGGAAAAATTCCTCCCCAGCCCGGAGGTCTCACGTGAGCTCGAAGCTGTGGTACTATATTTCGCAATATTTTTTTTTCTACTTCCCTGGATATATATATATATTACAGTATTCGGTTCTAAGTCTCTAATTTTGAAACTTTTCATTAAAAGCAATGGTCTATTGGTCCGTGTCAATTTTCCTTTTCTATTGAACACGTTAGTGGAAATTATTGTACATTTTCGGTTGCATATTATATTGTAAAATTCATTTCAATACAAACAGTTATATAGTCGCCTAGGATGTACATGGTGGAAATCTCAATATTTTAGACGCTAATAAACATTTATGGGTTAAGCACGTGCAAATGTCTACTCAAACTGTGTTTTTATGCTAGCGAATATTTGCGCTTGTGGCTTATTTTGAATTTGCTAATTTGGCTATCTTAATAAGTCCCACCAATAGGTAAAATAAAATGATATAATGAAATTTGATAAAGAAATATAATTGCTATCAACGCCAATATAAACTAAATGCTGATAAGTAAACTATTGCTTTGGCAGTCTTCACAAGCAATAGGAAATGTTAGTGTGATAATAACCAAGAGAGGTGCATATAAATGGATTCACGTATGCACATATTTATACATTTTCACTTGTGCTTAATTAAGGTCCAACATCTTGATTGTCGGAAAATTTACAAAAACGATAACAATGAGTGAAGTGCATCAGCTCATGGAGTCGGACGTCTACAGGGGGTATTTGCCGAAAGACTACCACGTAATCAGTGACTATACAGGCACAAATTACAAGTGCATATAATAAATGTATGTAATTACATATTTTCTTAAGGTATAGATATAAAATCAGCTTTTAAGTAAAAACATATGTTTTTCTGTAAGTAAGGTCTTTCTCTTTCGTAAACTATATTATCAGTTCGTTATTTTATACTTTACATCCCTAATATAATATATGTAAATTCCAAGTGCAGTCAACTGTGGTAGATGATATTGAAAACGCACATCAAAAATTAAAATAACTGGAAAAGTTCAAACCAGCCAATGTTATATGTATTATCTATAAATGTATGTAACTGTATATGTATATTGATTTGTTTTACGTCTTACTAATTATTAATTAACAACCAAAACTGTTTTTCTTTTCACAACTTCTCGTTCAAATTTAACTTTGAGTATGTTCAACACATTTGAATCATTAAACATCAACTCTGTGATTTCCTATTATATTCAATAACAGGTTCATATGTACTAAATTAATTAACCGCCGTTTATTATAAACGTTGTTTCGCGACCGCTTTATTAACAACGACTGCTGGTGAAAAGGTAAAAGTGTGTTTACTGAATTCAAATTGTACAGATTTAATCATTAACTCAATCGTAAAAGTTATCTGAGTAGATATGAATTTTTGCTTGCCATTTGAAATTACCGACTCACTATTTTTTCGCCCGTTATTTGATAGGTAACTTTAAAGTGTGCACTTAAAAGTGTCGCCCAATCATACACACAGGTACATACATATGTAGTAAAATATAGCTACACGAAGTGAATAATTAGTGAAATATATATGTAAAACAAAATTATGTACATATGCAATTGAATTTAGAGAAATTGTTCAGTGCAAATAAATTGACACCTTTTAAGAGCTTATTTTTTATAATAATTCTCAGCACTGGTAGCCGTTGTACCAAAGGAACACGAGGAAATATTTCTTAAATAATACAAATTTAATGGTATCTCATAAATATATGCTTAAAATTTTTTAGCGGGTTCACTGTTACTCATTCATACACACATACGATTCTAATAAATCTAAGTCTAAGAAGTTTATTCGACCAAGCTTGAAGTAATGCAACAACGTTAATTCTATTTGCAAAAGCGGAATAAGTCTTTCCTTCATGTACATATGTATTGATGTATCTTTCTTAAAAATATAACTCGCTTTAGCCATAACAATACAAAAAAAAAAAACAAAAAAAAAACGGATGTTGGCAATTTAAGATTGTCTGGAGCAACAATAAAGATCGTCATTATCTCATATAAAATTAAAAAGGGGTTGCATGTAGATATGTACATATGTGCATATCTATAAATTTTCATATACAAGTGTACAAAGAAATTCAAAGGTACAGAAGAATTAATAAAGATTAAGAAATTGCATAATGTACATATATAAATATTATATAAGTTCTGTACTTCAGATATTCCATTTTATTAAAGAATCCATGACAACCAAATTATAAATTAAAATTCTTTATTAAAATAATAACTACAAAAAAAAATTTAAATAGTTGTTTAACAAGTAACAAAATCTTCGAATGCAATTCCACCTGTTCCTATATAAAGGGTATAAAAGAAGCAAATCAGCTGTTAAAATTAAATTCCATGCAAAAAAGAAAGTTTACAGCAATTGAATATGGAGAAATTAACAGTATACTGTTACCCGTACAATTACTGTTAAAAGCTTGCAGCCTCATTTCCCCTGTAACGAAAGCTCAACTTTTGTGCTTTTAACTAACGCCAACTAGGTCAACGTTGCATAACCTAAGTAGGGTTATATAATATGCATTATTTACACAGATATATCACCTTTACTTATATTAAATGCAGTTTTGCAACATCTGTATTTACTTACATATATGTATATGTAATATACGCACATAGAAAGTCAAAAAGCTGCTTGCTAACGGTTACCACCTTGATTTCCATTTAATATACGGGTTGAATGTTGATTACGCAAACATCCCCTTGTAACGATTTATATGAGTGTGTGTATAAGAAAGTGTGCTCCGACAGTTACTTTGTTGTGGCTCTGATTGGGTTCAGTGGGATTCGTTTTGTTTTTAGTATAAATAAAGAAAGAAATTTTAAATGGAAACTTGTAAGGTTTTTTGGATTTGATGGTGCCAAGCTTTACATGGTATTTATTGAATAAAACGTTATATAGAACGGTTACCTTCTACCTTTATATATCTATGCTTGTATGTACAAACCTACATGTCTAATTAATTTTTTTCCAAATATACTTCCCCGTAGAAGAAATAGTCGATTTCTACAATTAGAGCAATATACATACATACATTTCCTCAATCTAGGAATCTACTACCACAATAATAAAAAAAAATGCACTAGATATATTTTTTTTACTTTTATCAGCGTTAGATCGTCTCAATTGAATGAGCAACATCATTAACGAACGTCCAGAATATAAGGAACGTTGGAAGTGAGGGGCAGTGATGGTGATCGTGATGCTGGTCAGACAATTCACATAAATTTAATAGACTTAATTGAACAATTGTCAAACTTTGCAATGTTTTTCATTCAACTGTGAGTAATTTCTAAAATATGAAGCTCTTTATAAAGCTATATACTTGTGGGCACAAATATGTCTGTATCTATCGTAGTTACTCATACCGAGAATTATTGAATGGAAAGTAAACAAGTTAACCATAATGCCGGCTAACATTTACATATGTACATAACATGATGTGTTTGTACTTAAAATATTGAAATACGAACGTCAACAAACGACCATATAAGCACACCACACTACATATGAACATACAGGCGTATGTAGTACATATGTACAAATAAATGGTAGAGCTTAGATTTTGATTAAGTCATCACTTGAATCCCTTAGGTATGTACGTATTCAGTTTTTATACAAATTTTACTTATCCAGGTATTAATTTTAGACTTTCATATGTACATACATATGTATGTACATATATGATAACACTAACTTTTCATAAATCATACAATCTTAAAAGAATACCGGGAATTGTATAGTTTATGTCCAACAAAGGAGTGTTCATAGTTCTTTTTCATCGAACTTCTTTTAGCACGCAAAAGAATTATGGTTACCCCGGTGTGGGCCCGACCTGGTACCACTTTTTTTAAACGCGGCCGAACGCTGCCAGTGCAGAAAGGAGTTTGACGCGATTGCATTATGAGCACCCCGGTTTTGGACCGACCAGGGTTATTTTTTTGAAGCGCGGCCGAAGGCCGCCAGTGCGGAAAGGAGTTCAACGATCTCCGATATTCGTCCATACCAACAGATCGCGGCGGAAATAAATTGTGACTGTTAAATTTCTTCAGTATATTTTTTTCATAAGAAAATATTTAACACGCTGAACTGGTAATTAGTGATTTGAATTCTACAGAATTTTACCGCTACAACAACTAAGTGACTTGAATACGTGATATGTGCAAAGTGTGTTAAATAAATTTTGAAAAATATACATATATTATTGGAAAAATTTATTTTCCGCTCAAGGGTTTGTAATATACGCGTAAAAATATGACGATTTAAAAAAAAAAAAATTTTTTTGAGGCCTTCTTACTTGGGGGACCTAAACTATACATTTACCAATCTATTTTCCCCATTAAAAGTCATGGATGAGTAAAAGCAGCACTAGGGTTCGGATCATTTTAAAATACTCAATTCAATGCTTGCATCATATGATCAAGAATAATAAACAAGTTATCAGCTTTCAGGTGAATGAGCAGTCAGCGAGTTTGAAAAATTACGAACGATTTTCGTACATATGTACAAGTGTATAGACAGTAACGTTCCTATCCAATGCAATGTTTTACAAGTTCATTCATACATACATATGTATGTATACGAATAAACAAATAAATAGCAGCGTTTGAAAAATATCCTATGTACTATACATGCATATATCCCAAAAATCAAATAAATATTTAACTAGATGTATTTAGTGCCACGATCACTTCGGCTAAGTATTTAATACTCAAATTATTTTCACAGCCTTAAGGCACAATTCGCCTACGTGACCAACGAGCACTTATTATAAAACAAAAATTGGAGAAAAAAATAAAAATAATAATTTAACGATAATTTTCTTGTCATATTTTCGGATTTAACTGCAAGCAAAGCGTAGTTAATTTAGCGCACTTCAGTTTGTTATATTCGTTGAACGAAAGCAATAAGAAATGAATCAGTATTTTACCACGAATGCTTTATCAAAGACAATGGATGATAAAAAATAAAAATAACGACAAAAATGCCGGTAACCGGTTTGGCAGAAATTAAACAAAATGGAATGAAATCACAAAACAATTAAATGCTGACTCACACCCTTTTGAGGATCTTTTTGCAATGTTTAACCAAATATTTCAACACATTTTACTATCCAACCACAAAAACTTAAATCCCAAAAATTAAGGGAAAATTTTGATGTGTTGCGTAACGTAGAAACGCTAAGCAAATTTTCACTTTTCTGAAATACGCACTACAAAAACTTTTAATTTTTCCTCTGAACATATGAAATGAATCAAAGCTTATTTATTTTTCTTCTTGGTTTATTTATTAAGGCACTTGAATTTACTTCCTATGTACATATATTTTTCACAAATTTTAACGATTTGGGAAGAGCGCTCACCTTTTTCAACCGTAGTATCCAACGACCAACTTAACAATGATCAAAATTATTTTGCTATCCGCAACTGTAGCACTTCTTCAGCTTTTTATTTAATTCGTTTTTGTTCAATTGAAAACGCGCACTTTCCCACAATATCCCCGCGAACGTTGCTTTTCCGTCTCTGCCTAGTCAAATCGTGTTACCAGAGAATTTGCAAGAACAACAACAATTGCCACCGGCAAACATTCCTCTGCTTTCAAACTAACGTCGGTGCGTCACTCACACATTTTTACGGCTTCGCTAATATATAACGGTGCAACGAAAAACGAAACTCATACTAATGTACATCGGTGTACACAAGCGCGCCGTGACAGCGCCAAGCGGCAATGATCAACTCCATACATACAAATAAATATGTATATACATATGTTTTTATATGAATATTTGAAAATATAAAAGCTTTATGTACATACATATATATGTAGTATATTATCCATGCAATGCAACTGTTGTTGGAGGCTCGTACGTTCCTCGACATTCTCTGCCGCAAGGGTACATTGCGTGAGTTGTTCCGTGCATACATAACATACATACATACATACGTGACTTGAAATGTAGTTGGTGCGAAGAGAGGCGGCACAGTAATTAAAGTAAAAACAAATGTATATATATTACTGTATATAGCAAAACACATACACACCTGTATTAACATAAGGAATATACAGGTTTAACATGCACTCCTCCTATAACCCAGTTACCAAATTTTAACAACTAAAACACATAATGAATAAATACAACGAATTAGCGCAACACATTCAAAGTTTTTGATCAGTTAAAACTGTAAGACTACTCGGCTAGCAAGAAATTGATTTTAAGTTGCAATCGCTCACACTTTTCAACTACCACACTGTCAGTTTTCGAACTTGAATGCCGTTTTGATATCAATTTTTCCATACAAGTCGTGGGGCAAGTTGACGATCAAATTAAAACAGCCGACATAGTTTTGCAGAAAAATTACATGTTTTTGCCGGAAATTTAAATATTTCGTTTTACTCATGGATTAATATTAAAATATAAGTATATCAGCCCATTACATAATATTACAAATTTCGTGCAAAATTCTCAAAAATTTGAAGCGGATTCCATGAAAACACCATCTTAAAGTTATTATTGATTATCAAGTTGTTTGCAGCCTATATTTAAATAAATTTTGACAAGTAGTTTGTGTGATTAACCTGAAAGCTAGTTCTTGATCGTGTAACTGCAGCGTAATGTACCCTATTAACGAAGTATTTTCGAAATATTTAAGAAGTTGTACAAATATACAGTACTACAGTCGATCTCCTTTGTTACGTGTAATAGTTCAAAACACACTGCAATTTCGGTACGCTTTCAGTATGTTTCGCTCTTCTTAGAGCGAATTTTCCCATACTATGATATTTTTCTATATCAATAAGTCGATTTTTCATTTTCAATCTCCCTTTAATAAATTTCGTTTCGATTTTTCTTTCTTACCGAAAAAATGGAAAAATGTATTTAGAGGAAGTCCCGAACTTCTAATTTGATGATAAAGAGTCTCTCTTATGAGCTTTCCAACAGTAGGATCAATTTGTTAAATAATTACATAAGGCTTTCACGTTATCGATTTGGCTTGTTGGGATGTGATTTATACCCATGTTCATAACAATGTCTGCGCCTTGCACTATGCGCCTGCCAATAGACTAGTTCTACTTACGGGGCTTACGAGCGCTAATGCACTATATATGCATGTACATAAATATATACAAACTTAGCCTCCCACGTAAAAATCTTTGCTTGGATTTGTTAGATTAAGATATACTTGTATGTTTGGCTGTTCTCACTTGCATAATATGTGCATGTATGTGCGTATCGTACATAGCGAGGAGCCTGAAAGCTTTTCTTGACGTGCAGTTAATAAAAGCACTGCTTCTGTTAAATTCTCTCCTTTATTAAGTGTGTTTGGATATACATACATACATACATACATATGTATATATATAGTATGCATGAAAGGGTATTTTTTATGACGGTAATTTGTCTGGAATATGAGTATAGAATTGTCATACATTCTAGAGAATTTGCAGCTGTTCATTGCAAGGGTATGAAGAAGTAAAATTTTCTTTGTATGTATAAATATTAATATTTTTTATTAAAATTATGGGATCTTAACAAGGTTTTAGTTATACTTGTAATACCAAGGCGATCCGTTTTCACACTTATTATACTTCAATTAGGTATATTTTTTGCAAATGAAATAAATTTTTGTGTCTTAAACAATTAAATAACATTTTTGCTACAATTGTACATAAGTATGTACATACATACGTACTTATGTAGATACTTCAATGTAGAATCTTGAACCTGAAATGTTTACTCTTTTCAATGGTGGAAAGCAGTAGCCAGGATCCTATACCTAACATACACATATACATACTTATGTACATAAATAAATACATATAAATGAAAATGTATAGTAGATAAATTTTTCACTTTCTACTTGACATCTAAAAATCTTGAACTTGAAGTCTGTTCCTTGTTTTTATTTTTCCCTAAAAAATTGAAACGATGCCAAGTAAGCAATACATATACTATATACGTACATGTATGTATGTATGGCTGTATGAATTTATAGATGGATATAGGAATATAAATATGTATTTACATATGTACATATTATATATTGATATGATATGCTAAAGTATATTGTACATACAAAATTATAACGAAAAATGTAATAAACAATTTTTTGTTGCGAAAACGTTATTAGAAAATGTGGAAAAAGATCTAATACATACATACATATGTATATGTACATACATACATATGTATATAAAAGGTGTCTTAAGTAAAAGTTTTTAGTGGTTATTTAATTTTTTTTCTTTTTCTTTTCGCGGATAATTTCCAATGATTAATTTATGTTAGTTTGTTTTTCGTTCCTAACTTTAGTAGTTTCAAAAAATCTACGTGGTTTGTAGTAATTTTTCAATACTATAGAACCTTTTTCTTCTGTGATGTCATCACTTTGTTCGCATAGCGTTCTGATTGCCCTAACTTAACATAACCTACCTTACTCTTGACAATAACTTATTGTATAACTTTCACATCTAAGTATGTACACATATTAATACAATTTATTACATCTTTGTGTGTATGTATGTATCATATACTAATAGGGTGGGTAAAAAAAATTAGGGGTTTTAGCTTGTTACTCTGAAAAATTGGTTGATAGACAACTCTAAGGATGTCTCTTCAAGTATAAGCTCTTAGTTATAACGAGAAGATAGAAAAGTTCATACATATCTCGCTCTTTTCCTTTTGTTTTTTTTTTATTTTCTTGGATAGGCATTGATGTTTACGATGAATACCTCGCAGTTAAAATTATTTTTTTTCATTGAGTTGTAAAATTCAAAAGAAAAAAACAAATTTGCCTTAAAATAGTCAAACTTCAAACGTCAATATCTTTTAAACGGTTGGGTTTACGAAAAACCGTAGTAGACCTTTTTTGAAGAGCATTCAATTTTCTACAACATCTACAAAACGAAATATTTTTTCAAGTAGTTTGAAGAACGATATGAAATCTGATAAGAAAAAAAAAATGGAAAACTATAATGCTGAAAACAGTCACCGGCGTTCCGCCCATTCGTACTTACCGCCCGCAAGGATGACATGATGCGAGACTCTCTCATTTTCGCTGATTGTTCTGTTATTCTCTTTCCCTGATTATTAAAATCAGGCAATTTCGAACAGCTGATGTCAAAAAAGGCGGGATGCCAGAAATAAACCCGCTTAAAATAGCTAACAAAAGCAGTGCGAAACGAAATTTCAAGGAACGACACCAATACTTTTGAGTAACGTGCAACTAAATTTTGTTTGTTAATTTAATTTAAAACGTTCATCATAAAACCATGATCTTTTATTATGACTTGTATTGTATCTTTGTTATAATTTTTTTTATTTATATGCTATTTTTTATGTTATATGAGTTTTTAAAAATTTTATTATATAAATACACGTATATAGGGATGTATATGCGTTATATAGGCATACTCGGGGACGGAGCACCTAAAAATAATATCGATATGCAAAATACCCAAAAGCTTTTTTTTATAATACCCAATCTATTTCCTTTCGACAGTGGCATGATTGGAAAATGTTATACAAAATGTGGGTTTTGACAGCTCTCTCTCGATTCAAAGAGTCTCGCATCATTTCATCCTTGCCACCCGTATTAAACAAAATGTATCGAAAGTTATGCCCGTAGTGGCAACGTAGAAATCAGTTGTACTCTTTTGTTTTCATTTGACTAATGTTGCCATAGTTCAATATGTATAAATTATTTTGCACATAAAAGCTGGTTTTAAGTTACAGTATTTCATAATGTAAAACATCAAAACTAAAATAAAATTATTAAAAATAGTCACTTATTTATAAACCATTGTATTCGACTCTAATTTTGAGTTAGTTTAAGAATATTTCAAATATATTAAAATTTTTTTTTAATTACTACAAAATATCGTGACTGGCAACCCTGTGTTGTAAGATAGCAACCTACCGTAAGGTCTGTAGAAGCGGGCGGTGAAAGCATTTACAATGCGCTCTCATAAGATAAGTCGTATCAGCTGATTCGGTCTACGGTTTTGCGTCGGGGACTATTTCCAGCATAAAGCGCAGGACCCACCGTTACAATTAAGAGCTCTTTCTTTAAGAAATAGTAACAGATGGTTTGTGATTAATAATATTATGTAATTCATATGCATATCTCATTCGTTCGTATGAGAAAAATAAATAACTGGTATACTTACATATGTATGTATGTGCTTTATTTGACTTGTATATATATATGTATATATTACATATAGTATATATGTACATATGTATATACAAAGAATTTTAGTTCAAGTAACAGCTGCTAAAAATACAACATACTAATTATAAATAGTTAAATAGTTTCAGGAAAATACAATAAGTATGTATTTACATATGTATGTGTTTTGAACCTACATATATTCTTATCCCCTATCCTTTTAAGGCCCTTGTTCGATTATGTATGGTCAAGATTACGCAACATGCTACGTTTAACTTTGGGCTGTAAAATCAGTGATTGTCTAAATTGGAAATTGTAAGCCGACCAGATTTTCTTCAGTGAATCAGAATTTTTAACAACTTCCGAAGCACGGAGAGATTTATGCAGCTTCTTTTCGCTATTGTGTCACCAAAATGCCGGTGGAGAGAAGATGTCTTGTTGCTCTAGTACGAGTGGATTCATAAGTATGTAAAAATAATGGAAATTTTTACCCTTACAGTAAAATTCCACAGCATCTTGGTGAATACGGATACTATTTAAAACACACATTTGCTGAAGGAAATTTTAGTCTATGTACATATGAATGTGTGAACTTTTTTTTGTAACAAATTTGTATCTTCACATTAGTCACTTTTCGTTAATTTACCCACAGTAACTTCATACAGAAGCGAACCATCTAGCCAGCCTGTCCGGAGTCAAGTCACATGATCTCCCCCACAAAGTTTATATTTGGATCCAGCGCACATATGTGTATAACATACACACATACATACAATAAGTACATATATTAACACAACTGTAGTATAAAAGTCTGAATGTGTTTTCATTTCATTTTCATCTAAACAGAACGGTGCTGAGCTATTTTTATTGTTGTTTCGAGCTTTCGTTTTCAGATATATTTTTCCTTGTTTTTTTTCATTTAACTGCCTTGTTTTGGTTGCTGTCACTGTGTGTTCAAAAAGCACATTCATACATACATAAATGGATGGAAATATATTGAGTACATAAGATTATGTATGTAGATAAATCGGTTTGTATTTTACGTACATACATACTACTCATCATCATTGCATTCACACATTTCATACATACATATGTATGTACGTATGATTGTATGTAGTATGTAGTATGTAGTATGTATGGCGTGTTATGTGTCAAAAAGTGTCGGCCGATTCGTTTTGAATTGTTCAACAAAAGCGACGTTCTAATATAAATTAAATGTAGATTTGTGGCTTACATAACTAACATAGAAAAAACAATTAAGGAGGGGCTAATTTCGGGTGAAACCAAAAACTGGAAACTCTATTTACTGTGAAAATCTTGGATATTTTGGTGATTTAATGGTGGATGGTGATTTGATGACAACAACTGATCTTATTGAATTTTCCCGCAACCAATTTCACAATTAAACGCTCTGCCGTTATATAGGGTAGCAATTCTTGTAATAAAACCGAATTCATTTTTAAGCACTTATGTGTTGTGAAAAACAGCTTACGACTTAGACCACGCTCTAACTTCATTAGGATATCGTCTTAATACCTGAAATACTCATTTCGAAGTCAATCAGATTAAGAGAAATCAGTATTGACCCATATCGGTAAAGTTTCGCAAATTAATTCCTAATGTTATACAGATATCTCGCTTTATGGACGAGTGTGTAGTATAAAGTCTGCAAGAAAGACGAAATTCCTCAAATTAAGGGGAAGTTGTCAGACGTCAGCGCCAGCGATGGTGGATTCAGTATAAATAAACAAATTTTAGTAATTTTTTAGGATAATTGGGGATTAAGTGAGTAAAAGTGTTATTTTTGGCTTTTTCAGTAATACCAATTAGTCCAATTTACGGCGTCATTCTCATAATTTTCATATTTAAGATTTTACATCTATCTTGAATAGTTTAAGGTGTTTCAAACTATCGTTAGATGAACAAAACTACTATACTCCGTGCATCAAGTTGCGTTAGTACAATAATACCGTGAACGAAATTAAAATACAATTCATTGTACCAAAATAATATTACTATATTTAATGAATGTTTTGGTTTTTAATTTTTTTTTTCGTTTTTATCACATTATATTTGTTTAAGAAGATTAATATTTGTTCTTAGTCAGTTAATCCTTTAAGCAGAACAAATATCTAAAATTATTTTGACTTGTGTATTAAATAATTGTAGTAAATTAGTATACATACATACATACGTATACAAATACACATACATATGTCCTGCTTAAACAATTGTACAGAGACTAACGCTTGGTTGGAAACTTTTTTAGCGTCTGGAATGATGAATTACTTTATTATTGTTGAGTAATTGATTTTTAATTGTAATCAACAGTTTATATATTTTATTTTGTTCGAGTAAATTAGTTTCCGGTGTGCAATTTTGACATAAGTATATATTTTTGAATATAATACTTTATAATTTATAATTTGCCTAATGAATTATGACTTAAGCTGGTATATTTTCTTTTCGAGTTATGATATTTTCTGAGATCAAATCCATTTTCTTATGAAAGCATATATACATACATATGTACATATGTACATATGTACATATATATATATACATACATATAGGGTATGTATGCTTTCAAGGTCCCTATCAAAAGGTTACACAGACTATATCACATAACATAAAATTCTTAGCGATGCAATAGAAAATTAGTATTGTTGTTGTGAGAATTATTTATTTCGGCCCAATTAAATGAATACAAGTGTTGGTGTGTGGTATTTTAGTTGAGAAAAGCATTATAAGAAAACTTTTGCAGATATCATTAGGATATCCAACGATTTCTTAATAAATTCTCTTTGAATTCTTCGCCTGACAACACGTAATGAAATACATATGCATCTTGAATACACTGCAGCATGGTACTGTACATTTGGATGTGTAGGTAGATTCGTATTTTGTAGGCTGCCCGGTCGTGTGTATGGTGTTCGGGATAAATATTGTGTAAAAGTTCCCAGATTTTCTTACATTTACCACGTCATTTAAGTTTCAAAATGAATTTTAGTCTATCATTTTCTTCTTTTGAAATAAATTAAATATATTATGATGGCAAAACTCGTTGAACACATACAGACATACACAGGCAGATTTATGTAGGTGCAACTGCAGAACGCGCCTTTTGCTTAAAATTTTTGACTTGATGCCAAATTATTGTTGAACAAACAAGTGGCCAGTTTTTGGCAATATCCACACAAAACTTTTACGTAATTTTGCACAGGAAGCGGCAAAAATACATGTGAGGCAAAAATATATTAAATTTTTTAGCTTAATAATTTCTGTTTTGTCACGCCGACGAATTTTATGCTTAGTAAATTTAATTTCTTTCAAATTATGAGATAATAGACAAGTTTCTAAAAGCTTTACATAAAACTGGGTTCTTACCTCAAGCAAACAAAATATAATATATACATAAGTAAGTATATCTATATTGTTTTCAAAAATTGGATAATAATTTGTTTATAATTGTGAAGCTATGCGCGAACACAGACATACAATTTTTTACCGTAAAATATCTATGAATATTATAAGCTCTCCGCTCATGCACAGACATACATATGAATTGTACAATAGCTTCTGCTTCTTCTTAACCTTTATTAACTTTTATATAATAAATATTAAACCACGGCGAATTTCTTATGTATTCTTTATAAAATAAATATTATGCCACAAAATGTTCGTCACTTTCTCAGAAAGTACCGCTATTGATAAGCGTTAAGTCCATTGGCATATTTAAAGACGTTCCTCGAAACCGCATAAACCACTATTGCAAGATTATGAAAAGATGCGAGAATGCAGTTTGTGCAATTCACGATTTGTTTAGTAATTGAATAATATTGCCATATTGTACATATGCATGTATGTAAATGATATACTTGTACTCTCGATTTGGAGCTGCATAATTATTATAGTTAAAGGATGTTCCTGATTTAAGATGATCATTTATTTCAAACAGTGTTGAAATAAAGTCGAACAGTTTTTCCAAATTTAACTAAAGCAATGTCTTTATGAAAATAACACAAAAAGATCTGCTTCATTATAAATTAGATAACTGAGTAAATGGTAACTCTATTTCAGACACGTGATTACTCATTATTTCTTAAGTATCTATAGAGTATACCTTTCTGGCTCCCTTTGTGACTCGTTTACTAAGAATCCAGTTGTGGCATCTTTCAGATTAGCTTTAAGTTTTTCATTTCCATTTTCGAAAGGCTTGCTAGCCTCTTTTAATTTTTTATCTAAGGCATCAGCTACTACTTCTTTTTTGAAAGTAGTAGGGCTTGAAGTTGGTTTTATGGATGGACTTGTTGTTGGCGTCGTTGGAGGTGTCGCTGGCGCCGGTTTTTCAATAGGCTTCGGTGGACTTGGTGCTGGGGTGGGAGCAACAACGGGTTTTGGTGCCGGTTGCGCTGGTTTTGGAGCAGGCGCCGGTTTAGTTTCTGCAATTTGTGGAGACACAGCTGCTGTTGGTTGTGGTTGAAGCGCAGGTGGCTGCTTATTCTCTATAGCTTTATTAGCACCCTTTATTTTTATATTAGCGAAAAACCAACCAAAGTGTTTTCTAAAAAAATAAAAGTATGAACAAGAAGAGAAAACAAAAACGTAATATAATATAAAGAAAATTATTAATAAATAAAAAAAAGAAAATTTGAAATGTTTAAATGTAGGAATAACAAAAAAAAAACATCGAAAACGCATAATAGAAAATAGAGTAAACTTAGGCATTGCTAAACAAATTTAAATTTGTTTTAAATGCCTCTAGTAATTAGTAGTGCATAGTAGTTGTTTATATTTGATATTTTGAGCGCACATGTGGAGAAGTGTGCAAATATGCGAATTATCTGTAGTCTCACGTTAAGAGCTTATTTTACCATTTTTTCACAAAATGTAAACAAATTTGCTAACTAATAAGTATTGCCATTTCTATTACTAATAACAAAATGTGCATAAATTAAGGAAAATACATACATACATACATATGGAATGTTAATAATAAGAAGAAGCATTTTACCGAAAAATAAATAAATAGTAAGCTGCCAATTCCATTAAGCTTGTTGAAATATTCATAAGTAAGTCCATTGTTATATTCCTACTTGTATAGATGTATTCAAATATTTTTGTAAATATTTAAAATTGAGCGAAACGCTTAAACGGTTGTTAATTCATAAATCGGTAATTAATCCGTATTTTCGAAAGCAACGGAAATTACTCGATTTCTTTTAAGTGCATATACGCTTACATACATACATACAATGTGAATATATGTATGTATGTAAGTCCATTCATACATTCATACATATTTATTTTCGGTTTCAGAAGTCGATTATATAAAAGTGAATGGAAAATGGGCACAAGCATCTGCCGTAGTCACACCTTTTTCCTGTCGCTTCCACACAAAATTAGTTAAATACACGAATAAAGAAAACAATAACAAAATTGCATTCAAACCGTTTAGATAAACATAAGTTCAAAGAAAAGTACTGTCGGATGATATTGTTTCCAACCTGTTGCCAAAGAGCAAAACTCATTTCGTCACATGATATAGTAAACCGATTCTTTATACAAAGGTATGCACACCTACCTTTTCACCGCTGCGCAATTAACCACTTGTTGGCGATCTACATTTTCTATAAATTCTTAGTCTTATTATGGTAAACATATACTCATGATCGCACAAATCTATTGTATACTCTATGAAAATGCAAATAAATGTAGGTGTGTATGTTCACTTGCTGTGATGGACTAGCAATACACAGAATTGCAATTATTCACTATGACAGTTAATCAGACAGATTGTGCCTACACACACACATAAAAGACAAACAGTAATTGAAGATAAACACAGTTTGATATGAATATATCATGTGCATGTCCATTATGCCGCTTTGATGATTAATAACAAGCACCCGGTAAACATTTTCTCAAGCCTTCGCACGAGAACAAAGTAGTTTCGAGAGTCCGATAACCACGAACCAAATGAGAAATAGGTAATAGTAGTTAAGAATGAATATATAAGTATGTATAACTATCAAAAAGTTAAGGTTAATCCTTATATGGATCTTGTATCAACCTAACAGAGGAGATCCGAAATTTGTA